TCTGACTGTGGCTGCATTAGCATTAGCAGGCTTCTTTTCATTGTCTGCGGTGAGCCTCAAAAACTCACCATGCTCCGCCAAGTGTTTAGTCTTTAAATGTCGGATCAAATTCGTTGTGTTGAATTTTTTTGAAGTGCTTCCTCCGCGGGGTATGTTTTTGTTGCAAGTATTGCAAGACACAAACTTAATATCACTCTCGCACACCGTAAAGAAGTTCCACACGGCAGACATGTTTGTCTTTGCGGGTTTGCTGCCACGCGCATGCGCACTAAGTGGGGAGAAGCGGAAGGGTGAACTACCGGCCGGGAAGAGTAAGCGCCAGTGCCAGATCGGAAATGAAAGGCAGTGATCGGCGATCACAGATCACACACTTTTGCAGGAAAATCGGCCGATAATTATCTGTGGCCGATCAATCGGAGCACCCCTAATATCGGCAAATATCGGTTATCGGCCATAACAGTGATCTTAATATCAGACATTGGTATCGGCCCAAAAAATTTCATATCGGTACATCACTAATTATTACAGTTTTTCTCAATTGTTTACACACATTTTCTGAAAGCATGCCTCATATTCTCACAACTCTACACACAAATAAAAAAAACAAAACAAAACAAAAAAAAAACACAATGGGCAAACCCCCTCAATTAACCTGCAAAATGAAACTTCACATTCAAAACAATGTTATTTCTCCTCACAATGTGATTTTGTTATCACACAAACCATCATATGAATAGACATTTATAAGAACTAGCAGAACACTTATGTGCTCAATGTGAAACACTATGATGAATGGAAAACACGTCTTCTCCATTCATAATGATTTAAGCCTTTTTGGTTCAGTGTTACACTTACTACAGACAGTGTGTACATACATGTGTTGTAAAATATTTCAGAATATTGTTTTTACACTGAACACACAAATACATGGTAGAAATTATTTTATTTTTCCCGCAAAACACTGTACACAATGTTTATTCCATTCCCAACTAACACAAAGTTGATAAGCTGACCCTATCAATATTTTGAAACATGCCATTGTTTTCTATTATTTTTCTTTGTATTTGCCATAATGTTACGGCATTGTTTTCTAGGACCATGTTCATGATTTCAGTTACCTGTTCAGGAGACAGAAGACGTTCCCGACCTCCTCGTGTTGGTAATCTTTCAGTTCTGCCAAACAAATAGTAAAATACTGTGAATACAAAGTAGGTATACATTTCCTAAATACTGGAAACATGCTTTTACAGTATTTTTACTGTCCAACAAAACAGTCCACAGGATATACTACTACTTTACTCATTGAATACTGATTGTATTGATATGCAGTGCTGCATTTTCTAGTGAGAAGATTTCTTACCTATTCTCATTTCGGAAGGTCTGGATGATGGATGCTACAGTGTACCTGCTCAAAATGGCTGTACTCTTTTCCCAGGCTCCCTCATTGTAAGACCATGGTTGACCACATGATCAACCAAAGTGGCTCGGATCTCATCAGATATTACGGTCCTTGGCCTTCCTCGTCCTCCCCGTCCTCCTCCTCTTACTCTCACTCCTCTGGCTCTGCCTCTGTTTCCAATGTTGGCATCCATTGCTCCAAAACAGAAGAGCTCACCTGTTGCCCTTTTATGCTAAAGCTCTGATTGCTAATTGTAAAACTGTGTGACAGGTGTTTGCCCTTGTGATGAGTCAGTGTGCACATTTGTATAGCTGTGTGTTCCTTGTGAAAACAAGCCATTTTCTGCATGAAAACAGCATTCTCTGCCAACAGCAGAGAAGTGTGTGTAGTGTTTTGAAAAAAGTGTGTTTTAGATTTGCAATTTGAGTACAAAGCAGGAATTGCGCTTGCAGTTTGGCAGAATTGGATAAGAGGGTTGGTGAATTGGTTACGTGTTGTGGCCATTGCGTCTCAAGTACAGAAAATGTGTGTAAACAATTGAGAAAAACCATAACAAACATTATTTCCTGTCTTTCACCTCTGGCGGCAGTCACTGCATGAATCTCACAAGGGAGAAAGAAGTCAAATCTGTCAAATGCAAATGGATAAAAAATAATACAAATAACAAAAAAATACCTAGCTATTTCACATTCATTAATGATTTAGTTGTTTAAATTCAAACTCTAATAAGTTCAGGGAGGACCCAAAGACATTTCACCTCTCATCCAAGGAGTTTTATTAATTTACAAGGAAAATGCAAACGGAAAGTTTGATGACTTTAGATGTTTGTTGTACTGTTTTTACTGGCACCACTGTCATGTTCCTGAGCCGAGGTGAGTGGCGCCATCCCCATCTCACTTTATCAGTCTGATTTCCCACAGGTGACAGCGGAGGGGGCCGCAGCTGCAGAAGATCCACAATCAGGGACGCGGGTATAAAAGGAGGATGGAGACACCTCACTACGCCAGATGATTGTTCCTGTATAGGTAGCACCAGCCACTCGCTCTTGTTTTGTGGACTTGTCACTCGTATACTGGATATCCTGGATTATTGAACTTGGACTGCTCTGATTGCTCTTTTAGATTACCCTGAAATCTGGTGTTGTTTGTTCTCTCCAGAATCTCATTCAACCTGACTCAACTTGCTGTTTTACTGACTGGATATTCACACCACGTTCCATCCTCCTCCGCTGTGTCTGGTTGGATCCCTTCCGCTATCAAACCTGTTTTTCTGATCACCCTTGGACTGATCTGAGCTCACCTCGGCTTCCTCACCTCGTTCTGCCGAACGTTTATGGACTCGAGCTATTGCTCACACCCCCCACAGGACTTCCCTGTGCATTTTTTGTTCTCGTTTAAAATAAAAGACTTTAAGTTCATCCTACCTGCTCGTCGAGTCAGATTTCTGCATGTCTTGGGTTAAACACGTGCCACGAGTCATGACAACTACTTCATATCCATGAATGTTTTGTGGTTTTTTTTACTATCTAGTTTTTACTTTTAAGGGTTCCTGTGTGTTTTGGGCAGTTTTGAACTGGTTCCTTGTTTTATTGCTGTAAAGTGTCCGTGTGTTTTGTGAAAGGCGCGTATAAATAAAATGTATTATTATTATTATCCATATTAACTTTATCATGTTCACTAATATTTACTGAATTACAATTCCTTGTTCTCTCTCACCTCCAAACCCTATAAATGTGGAAGTAATTTTCCTCGTTAGTTTGGAGGTTCCTTCCCCTCCTCCTGGCACGGCCTGAGAGCTAGAGCTAAACACACGTCTCTTAAAACGAGGGGAGGGGAGGATGCAGGGGAGAGACCTGTCTGAGAGGACCAGGACGCTCCTATTTAGTTGTAAATGAGCTGGTAATTAGCTCTTACACGTTTGCCTGGAGGGTATGAGTGTGTGTGTGTTTGTGTGGGTTTTCAACCCATTTTCCCTTGAATAGGGATAACGATGTTAAGCAGATAATACTAATTACTTCTCCTCCCAATTCCTTGTTAATTGAGCTTGGTACACACACACACACACACACACACACACACACACACACACACACATCAATCCTGCTCTGCCTGTTAACAAAATCAACAAGTATTTTTAATCACGACAATTGTGTTTAAGCCATATGTTAATTATGCTAAGTGGGGATATACCACGCTCAGTGTGGGGGTGTGTGTTGGAGGGTTGGGATTTTTTGTTCTTATGGTCCATTTCTGGTGATCCTGTGTGACTTGAAGAAGAAGAAGACTTTATTGTCGCTGGACCAGCCATTGTAGCTTCAGTTTCCTGTCCTTAGGTGACAGAAGTGACACCCGGTGTGTTCCTTTGCCTTTTTTTAAGGTTCAGCATGCCGTGTTCTGAGTTTGTATTCTACAGACCTAAGTTGTAATGAGTGGTTATTTAACCATGACACATTCATGTGTTCCCATCATTCTGCTCAGGAAAAATACAGGCTTGGAAAGACATTCTTTGAAGTTCACAAAACAATGACACATGTATTGTTTCATACCTAAATGATTTTTAAATGCAAATTTTCTAGAAACCTGTGAAACCCCTGCTAAAACTCGCACAACATCTGTTGCACCCCATCACCGTCTTATTATTCATCTTATTCCAACGGCTTGGGTGTGCTTAAGCAGATTTTGTTTCAGTCTGCTTAAAAATGTTAAACAGATTGGGACGGGGGTTTCTTGTAATGAAGATTGAAGGGGTATGCGTGTGCATGTGTGTGCGTGTGTGTGTGTGTGTGTGTGTGTGTGTGTGTGTGTGTGTAGTGTATAAAACTTTGAAGGGTAAGATTAGCTGTGAGCATGATCTTCACAAAGCTAATTTCTCCCCTTCTGTATAATACATACACACGCACGTGCGTGCCTGCGCGCGCACACACACACACACACACACTTGACCCCCTTCCCAATCAGCCATCGACACCAAATGGTATTTTAATCTAGATTTAAGATCTAACAAGTATCAAATTATTGCCAACAGCTTACAAAGTAATTCCATGTGCCGTTTACACCCAGAGGGATAAGTTGTCTAGCCATCAGACTTTATCAAGGTAAAGTCCCATTAGTCATCACCACTGTGGCGCCGAGGCACTTGTCAGAATGACCCTCATGCGCTCCGGAGGAAAAGTAATACTGAGGAGGCCGTTGTCCAGTGCAGACCCAAGTGTACTTTATTTACATTTAACAAAATTAAAATCTAGGCAGCACAAATCCATGCCTGCCGCTCCATCCAACACTCAACTCTCTCCAACAAACACAGAGCTGTATTTATAACAGGTGTGCCTAATTGGATTGATCCTAAAACTCAGACACAGGTAAATACAAAAATACAATCTTTCAATACTCTTAAATTATACTTAAATCTTCATCTCTAAGATCTCATTAAATAATTACAATACAAAAATAGAAACATCCTTAATCAATCGTAAAAACATTCAGTGAAACTAATCTGCATTCCTGGAGCAATTTCACAGGTCACCCCTCCCATTCCTACTGAATGGAATGCTCCAGAACCTTCTTTAGGTGCTCCAGCTCCCCGGGGACTATTTTAGCTGGAACACTTGCAGAAGCACAAGGGAAACAGGTAAGCACAAACATTCAATCATTTATTTACCACTTTAAATCTTCTATATTCATACCAACTCTTCTTACAGGTCCAAACGCTTCCCCCTTTCAAATAAACATTAAAACATTCATTGAGTCTGGTTTCATTTATCCTTCAATCATAGAAAAACCTGTGTAATGGACTTGCTACATTACAACCACACACCGGTGAAATTCATCTATGCATTTGACCCATCCCCGCAAGGAGCAGTGAGCTGCACTGCAGCTGCACTCAAAAACTATTTGGTGGTTTAACGACAAAAAAAAGAAGCACGACAAAATGAATGTAAGTCAATGGGGCTACAAACACTATTTTCTAATCCATTTTGCTATGTTCCATGGATTTCACATAAGATGTCTGTAATTTTGAGAGATACATTTTGATGCTATCAAAGCTGTTATTTTTGAACGGGGGCAAACATTATTTTAGGTTTTGTGTGAAAATACATCCAGGGCTACAAATGCGCATCACCAAATTGACGTCATTGAACCAGTAACGAAGAAAAGCAGAGGAAAAATGGCTGTGAGTTCAGCTCAGTTTGAATCCTTCGACCAGGAAGACAGAACCGTCCTAAATCTCACCATGTGGTAAATTGCTGCTATGCTGGGCAGAGAAGATTCAGTAGTGATGTCATATTCGAGACATGCTGACTTTTAGTTATCAGGCTTGTCTCTTGTGGAACCAGCTCCCAGCTTTAGTCCGTGAGGCAGACACCTTGTCTACTTTTAAGAATAGGCTTAAAACATTTTTATTTGATAGGACCTATGGTTAAAATCTGATGTTAGCCTAAATCTGGACAAGTGGGGGAGTAGAGGGAGGTGGAATGTACAGTCGGTAAAGACAGCTCTCCCTTGCCCTGCCTCCAACATGCCTCCATCTAAAAGGCTAGGTTATCCAGAGTTATCTCAGTAGTTATGCTGCTATAGGCTTAGACTGCTGGAGGACATACTGACCACTTTCCACACTCTATTACTTTCTTCTACAATCTGCTCTTTAACTGTAATATTTCCTGCAATTTCAACTGTTAACTTTATTTTTCTAAGTGTTTTTCTCCCCAGAAGAAGCTACAATGGTGTTCTGCTGAGCTGTGGTGGCCTCATGGAAGGGGCCATTGGCTTGAACACTGTTGCTAACCTTTTAAACATTCTCCCTCTCCTGATAATAACTTTTTACTTTTTTTGACATTGAATGTGCTACTACTAGTTTACCCGTTTAATTATAGATTCACTAGGATAAAGATAAAAAAAGTTTATCTCTTACCAAATAGAATATTTACCAAGAAATCACAATGTAACCATAGACACACACACACACACAATGGGTAAGTGTGTGTGTGTGTGTGTGTGTGTGTGTGTGTGTGTGTGTGTGTGTGTGTGTGTGTGTGTGTGTGTGTGTGTGTGTGTGTGTGTGTGTGTGTGTATCTGCTCTGTCTTCTCGATTCCCAGTGAGTCGTGGAGGATGGCTGCTTATACTGAGCCAGGATCCTCTGAAGGTTTCTTCCTGTTAAGAGAGTTTTCCTCTCCACTGTCGCTGCATGCTTGCTTATTATGAGGATTGCTGTAAAGACACTGACACTAGTCAGTGACTTGATGCAACCTGCTGGGTTCCTGAAATAGGAAACTTTTTACTGATTGGCTTAATGAACTGACTTGTATTGGAATGTTTACTATGTGAGGTTGCCTTGAGACGACTCTTGTCGTGATTTGGTGCTATGTAAATAAACTTGAAATGAATTTAATCTGATTTATAGTTGTAGGAAATGAAAACGTTTACAAGCTGATAAATCTCAAAGTACGTGACAGGCATGGTCAAAACACACATCCTTACTTTTCATTCAAATTGAAGTACAACACATCTGCGATTCATGGGCAAATGGCAAAGCAGATTAGAAAATAGCACTTTTAGTCCCATTGCCATTAATTTTTTCATTTTTCCAGGGACCCATAAGCCGACCAGAAAGGCTCCTAGTTGCAGTTCCAATTTCCCATGGGCGCTTTGGCAGGGCCATCCTACCGTGGGTGGCACAGGGGGGCAAAACCCTTAAATCTTAGACCCCCTATGTGCCTTCATCAATTGTCATTGGTTGCTGTAGCTGTTTGTAAGTGTGTAAAACTCGTTCATCGTCATCATCACCATCATCATCACCATCGCTATCATCATCATCATCATCAACTTTATGACAGTAACATCAAAACGAGCATAGACAGCAAATGTCCATTGATGTCCACGTTCATCATTTTAGCGTCTTCTTTGTTGTTTAAACCACACAAACCCTAACCTCACTGCAGCCTTTCAGCTTTAATCTCCCCATGTCTACTCTATGTCTGCTTTCAGAGGTTCTGCTGTACAATAAAATTAAACTTTTTAAATGAGATGGTCTACTGGTATATACCCGCTTCGGGCTACTTTGGACAAATAAAGTGTAATATGTTTTGACAATAGCTGACAGATGCTTAAAGGGTCCTTAGTCTGATTAATAAGAAAATTGTACTAAGACTGATTAATGAGCTACTGAGATCAGGACTGAACTAGGCTGCAGATTATTAACACTGTCCTGACTTGCTCTGTCATTTACATCGGCGTCCAGGGGTGTTAGCATTATGTCGCCGTCTGAAGTGAGGTCACGGAGGATAATTTATCTGCGACCTATGTCTGCTTTAATTACATGGGTATTAGCTGGTGGGGGAATGATACTGACCTGTGTCTCAGATTTATCTTTTGATTAAATGTTTTGGGCATTTAATGACTGTGCAAAGACTGGTTAAGAGGACCAATAAGCTTATAAATATAAAGCTTTCGAATAGCTATAATTTGTATTCCTGCCCACTTTTGCTTCCTAGCTTCATCTGCCTCTAAGGCATATCCTCAAGATCAGACCTTTTAAATGATCTTTCCTCACTTGTTTGCTCACTGCACTCATCCGGGCAGTCAATGAGTCCTCAGGCTAAGCCAAACAAGCTGATCAGCCAGGCACCTCTGCACATACTACCCCCCACTAAGAGGCTAATGGCTGGGATGTTTAATCCTTCTCAAAACAACCACAGAGATGCTAATTGTATCTATCTATAAATACAGTCAACCACTTGTCCTCTTTCTTCATTTGTCCCCTGCTCCTCCAAAGGTAGCATCACGACTGACTTCCCCGAAGTATCAGAGCAAGTACCAGGAAAGGCACAGGCATGCAGGAGAGGCTGCACGTGTGAATGAACTAGAGGTGGATATACCATTTTTGGGACTTGCAAACGTTTTCTGAAGCGGTGAGGTGAGATGTTCCCATTGCCGATGTTTACGCCAGACCAGGTGGCTCGGGTGTGTGAGAACCTGGAGGAGACCGGGGATATCGATCGCCTCGGTCGTTTCCTTTGGTCCTTGCCCGCTGCTGTCCCCGGCTCTGCCGGGGAAGCGCTCAATCGACACGAGTCAGTAATGCGAGCTCGAGCGCTGGTCGCTTTCCACAGGGGAAACTTTGAGGCTCTTTATCAAATCCTCCAGAGCCACAGGTTTACACGTGAATCTCACGCCAAGCTCCAAGACCTGTGGCTAGACGCGCACTACAGAGAGGCGGAAAGACTCCGAGGGCGGCCGCTGGGGCCGGTGGAGAAGTATCGAATCCGCAAAAAATTCCCTCTGCCACGCACCATTTGGGACGGAGAACAAAAGACACATTGCTTCAAGGTAAAAACTCAGGTAGAGATTTTTTATTGACTTATATTTAATCCCTGCTGAAAGCTGATGATGGGCGGGGTGGGGGAAACAACGATCCAAACCACGTGCTTCCTTGTTTTGGGGCTACACAGAGGGAACATCCTCACACCACTTAGACACGGCAAATCTCATTCTCGTGTGAATGTGATGTGTCGCCTGATGGCTGAGGCCAGCCGCCTGTAGCTTCTGAGCTCTTAAGATGATAACGTTCAGAGCCACAGTTATCCTCATGGCTTCAAGTGTAAAGTGCGTCATCCTTCTGCTATGAGATCAAAAACATCCCACAACAACAATCGTGTACCATCTTTTACTTTTTTAAAATACAAAAGACACGCTTGAATCAAAATGTTATTATGTTGGTACATTAAAAAACTCAAACTGCACCATTGTACATAAAATACAATGCAAATATTGTTTTGCAGCTATTTCATGATGCCCATTCATCGACATTAATCCGGCCCAACTTACATTCAGTATGATTAAGCTTCATAACCTTCAATCTGCTGCAAAAGTCCAAATTGAAACTTACGTTTCGGGTGTCCCTAAAACAACAACATGGTTTTACAAAAAGGGAGAAGAAAGAGACATCTTGTGTCACTTAAAGATTTTCTTGTCCAAAAAAAAAAGGACAAATATAAATAAAATACTGTTTAATTTGAAGGTCAGATATTTTATGAGGTATCATGTGAGAAAAATCTGAGCAGAACCAACTCTACCTCTCTGTTAGGAGCTGTGAACAGCTGTGTACATGATCACCCTCTGGTGGTAGTTGCTCGTTATCATGTAATCTTTAGCCTCAGGAGGGGATGTGCTGGCCTTCAGTCTCTTAAACATCTTAACACTATCCCTTTTAACTGCAGGAAAAGGTTTTGTGTAATTCAAATAGTCCCTATATACCATAAATCCAAGCTAATGCGTTAATCCTACATGAAAGATAGGGCTATTCACTGTAAGAAATAAAATGTTGAAGTTTCTTAACCAAGTTATATGAACTGGCTCCACTAAACCCAGTTGCTTTAGTGTAAAGAGTAGCATGCATTTACTTTTAATGAAACAACCTGTAACAATGATTATTACGCTTTACAATTAAGCAACGAGGTTTAATGGAACCAGTTGACATAACGTTATGTTTTTTCAAATTTTTATTCACCCTATGTCTTATTGATTTTTAGCTGTTATTTTTGGGAATTTTGTTGTATTTCCTTTTTATCTTTTATCTGTGTTCGACATGTTTGTATAACGCCGGTTTAATTAACCAACATTTTTAGTGTACAGCGCCTTGTTTGGTTGTAATGCCTTGTGAATGCGCTTTATAAATAAAATTGGATTGGATTGGATTGGATGTATAATTCCCTTTTTCATTTTTTAGAGTGTTGTTGAGCTGCTATGTGATCTCCTCATGTCAAAGTATTTCAAACAGGACAGCCTGCGCTGATTTATGAGACGTACATGTGCTTTGTGCAGGAAAGAACTCGCAGCTTGTTGAGAGAGTGGTATCTTCAAGATCCCTACCCTAATCCGTCCAGGAAACGCCACTTGGCCCAAGCCACAGGACTCACGCCGACACAAGTGGGTAACTGGTTCAAGAACCGGCGCCAACGAGACCGTGCTGCATCAGCGAAGAACAGGTAACTCACAACATTTCAGTCGTCTGGAAAGAAATTCTTGTTTACTTAACAAAGCGGGTCAACAGTTTGAGACTTAAGGAAACAGCAAAGGTCAAGTCATGGAGGAAGCTCTCTCTCTGTACCCAGGCTCCAGCAGGATTCTTCCCTTATGCCTGAAGGCTCACACGAAAGCTCCCTTGAAGAGCGCCACCCCCACCCCCACATGCTGCCCGCCTCTCCTCGCCACCTGGGCAGCCCGGAGGAGAGCGACTGCAGCACCGAAGCCGAGCGCAGAGGAACAGGAGCGTCGACTCCAGAGATCTCCATCAGCAGCGACAGCGAGTTTGAGTCCTGAGACTTCCGTTCCTCCAGACACCCAGGGAAAACCTTTTTTGGACGCATGACAGTGTTTCAGACTCAAAGGAGTTTTGGCTAAGACCACTTCCATGATGTATCGGAGAGAAAGACACTTATATGAGGATGTAAATGTGGGTGTGTTATATTAGTATTTAGCTGATCATGAATCGGCACTATAGACTGGTAAGCAATTATGGGTAAAAAATATATTTTAAAGCTTCAGGCAAAGTATATTTTTTCAATAATCTCAACTGATTTTAGTATTTTTGTTAGACATAGGTCTTTTTGCGACTTGTGGTTTTTAAAAGCTACACCCATTTGCTCTAAAAGTTGCAAAAACACAATTAATAATGCCTTTCTTGCTTCAGTGTGAGTATAACAACATGCACACTAACTACTCAGGATTGGGCGGAACAAGGAGAGTGAATCCTGCAGGCAAATTCTATTTTTTTTAACAAACAATAAAGCAAACACATGGAAATGTGCAGGCTTTATATTGATTAGGTTTAAATGACTTTATTTTTATTGAACAAGTTAGTTTTCCAGAACAACTGGGTGCTAATGTGCATGTGAGAATAATCACAATACATTCCACTCCTTTGACTGCCTTAAATGGATTTAAGGGCAGCCCTACAGTGCAAAATTAGATCAATCCAAACACAAATGATTCTGACAACAGCCACTTCACCGATACAAGACTCCTGAGCTGCTCTGAGCCAATCAGGAGTCAGAGAAGAACTTAATGCACTCATCTGTTCAACGCTCTATGTGCCTATTATTGCATAAAACCCAGTCTGCAGCGACACTCACAGGCCTGCTGTCTGTCTTACAACCATCACATCTCACCACACATGTCTACATTGCATTGAAACTGCATTTTGTAAATGTTTTTGTGTAAATAAACAAACATATTTTTATCCACTTATCGTGATTGTACATCTATTTATACATTTAGGTCATTCTGAAGTCCTCAACTTGAACTACTGCCATCTTAAAATGAGATTACAGTGGTTCGTGTGAATGTTCTATTACATACATTTGCACCAGTTTTGTATAACTTTTTTATTCACATGGAAATCTTTAGCTGTTTACAAGTATGAATGTCACTAGCAGCCACAAAATCAAATCAAATCAAATCAAACTTTATTTATATAGCACTGTTCATGCACAGGATGCAACATAAAGTGCTTAACAGATTAAAATGACCCATATAACCCACATTCCCTCCCTTTCCCACACTTAAAACAGTTATGACAGTTTCACCCCCAATCCACACACCATTCTCACACACACACACACACACACACACACACACACACACACACACACACACACACACACACACACACACACACACACACACACACACACACACACACACACACACACACACACACTCGTCCACATAACACATTAAAAGACCACGGTAAACACGGCTGAGCTCAGATTGGACAGGTAATGAAAGACACGCCATCAAGGGAGCCATCTGCCTCGACAGCAGCAGATCCACGGCAACAGCCAAGACACCAATCCAAGGCGCCCTGGGAGGGAGGGTAGCAACCCGCACCACTACCTGGGCACTACCCAAGGAGCGCCCCAGCCGCTGCCACCGACCACCGGTCCCGAGGCAGAGAGCTACACAGAGGAAACACTGGAAGGATTAAAATACGTGACATGTAAAACCACAAGAGCTAATATGGATAGCAAAACATCCAATAAAATGTGATTATAGAAATAAAACAACATAAATGTTTAACACAACATTAATTAAAATAAATAAATAAGTAAAACAAGCAATGCTTTAAATAATAATCAGTTCAAAGCTAAACTAAAAAGGTGGGTCTTAACATGAAGAATCTGAATATTCCTGCAGAAATGTCTGTAATATTCATCAGTCCTGCAGGAAATATGTACAACTTCTGCAAACAGAAGCATTTGTTTTTGTGCAAATTAGTTTTTAAGCCATGACAAACAAACATTATTGTCTTGTTCTTTGATTATTAATTCCATTTTGCAAATACAGCAAAACTGAGATCCTAAAACTTTGATGACATCACCACCTTGCATTTCCACATGCTGAGAGTTGATGCTGGAGGCAGGCGTTGCAGATTTGCAATGTTAAAACCTACCTACCTGGTTACTCCACATAAGTATTTCATGAGCATTGTTTTAACTCAGAAGTACCCTTGAAGGACTTAGTTAATCAAAACTTATTTTGAGCCTGAGAGAGGGTTAAAAAGCAGCTGAAACTCACTTGTTCACACCAGGCTGGCAAATCAGCATAATACTGTCACCCTGGAGTGTTATGAAAGTGCCATGGCGGTGTGGGAATTTTGCTGCATTTGTGCCGCCACGCTTATAGTAGAGTAATATCATCACAACGCTTGACTTGTGAATGCATATTATGCCTTGGTGCAACAGAAAGAGGTGTCATGATCACTTGGTTAGTTACTGCCGACTTCCGTCCGTACACAGAATTAAAAATAAAAGTAAAGGTTATGAAGCGATTGTGTTAAAAATTCCATAGCAAAACGTTACTGTGACCTGGAAATGACTAAAAAACCAGGACGCATTACACCAGAGGTCTGTAACAACCCACCTGGAGAAAGAGAGCAGGCTTCTCAGGCATTTAGGGAGTTCACATTGTTAAAGATAGAAAAATAACAGCTTCACATTTAATTCCAAATGCATTACAAACAGCAACAAAAACTCCAGCTGCTTCATACACAGAAAAAAATGCTGTTTCCCCTCCTCCGTCCATGGAAAATGGGTGACTCCACCCACACACCAAGACTTCTTCCTACCTGTCAGCATTCTTCTTGCTATACCTATGTGAGCTCACCTGTGCTGTTTTTATTTGTTAGTCTGACTTCTGCTCAGACAGGTGGGAGCTATTTGAGCTGCTTCTAACATTTGCCAAATCATGGACAGCCAGGGGAGGAAAGTGGTGGTGTGTGACAATGGAACAGGGGTAAGTTAAACCCAAAATGTCCACAGGCTTTTACTGCAGCTTGTTACATCTGCATCATTCTTTCTCCTTTCCATTACCTAGGAGTTACTACTACTATATGTTAATGCCAACTCACTTGTCACATGTCTGACACGAACATGCTTTCTCATACATTGTTAAATAAAAATGCCCAGCAGGGTGTGAAAGTGTGTGTTCACAGTTTCCATGTTGTCTGAACTTGTCGCTGCTGTCTTAACACACACACACACACATCCTTAAATGGTTATGATGCATTAAACTGAGTGCACATTGGATGAGAAGCAGGAAAAGAAATCTGAGAGGCTAAAATACGAGTTTAAGTACTACTAGTTTTTGTATTTAGATGATAGTACTACAATACTACTAACTTTTGTTTGTTTTTTCTTCTAGTTAGGAATGTATTGTGTTGCTTCAGGCTAAGGAATGTGTTATTGGTACTTAGACAAGTCGAGACAGTAAAGTGGGAGGTGTGGTCTTGACAGACCGTCTGTAGGTAATTCCATGCCGTTTAAAAACTGTGTAGTGCTATTTATATTTAAACATGCCCTCAATGTGTCTTTTATAGTTGCATTCTTCCAGTGTTGCTCCACTTAAGAAAAATTAAACATTGTTTTCTGCACGTTAAATTCAAAACAATGAAATAAATGAAGTTTCATTTTCAGTTAAAATGCAGAAACGAGAACATTAAAGGTGCATGTAAACAATAAACTTGTGTGTTTTTTTCACTTCCCTTCATAGTTTGTCAAGTGTGGCTTTGCAGGGTCCAACTTCCCACAGCACATCTTCCCCGCCATGGTGGGTCGACCAATCATACGGTCCTCCACCAAAGTGGGAAACATTGAGATCAAGGTGGGAACTGTAGATTTCACTAAACTGTTTATTGAAGGTTCACATAAGGAAAAAACTTTAAAACAACTGAAATTGCTAAATGGATGCAAATTACATCAAAGGACATTAATATGCTTTAAAGACAGTCTTCAATATATTTTTTTAAAATATGCATTTAAAAAAGGAAATTGTAAGTAACCAACCAGTTACAGAAATCTCTGAGGAGTATTTCCATCAACGTTATAAATAACAGACAGTTCGCATGGCATAAGAGGTCCAACCTGGTACTGGTGAGGTGTGCTCAATGAACTCTGGAAATTCTATTATGGCTTTTGGTTTTAGTTAGCTACCCCAAGATGATCAGAACCCCCCCTTTGGTCACTTTTTAAAGAATTTTCTGTTGTTGACCCCTAATTAATCATGAACTCTTCATTTTTTTTAGTTCTGTTCTCACAAGTTCTGAACTCTTCCACCAGGACCTGATGGTTGGGGATGAGGCCAGTGAGTGCCGCTCCATGCTGGAGGTGTCCTACCCCATGGAAAATGGCATGGTGCGTAACTGGGAGGACATGCTGCACCTGTGGGACTACACCTTTGGCCCGCAGCGCCTCAACATCAACCCATCGGAATGTAAAGTATGGAAACAGATGCAAGTGCTTGCCACTTTTTGATCTGACAGTTTTAAAGTGACGGTGTGTAGTTTCCCAGGTGATAGAGGGCAGCACATACCTAAATGATTGCAAGCAAGCATTACTTTTGTGTTTGAGTAAGACCTTACCAACGATGGCCACTAGGGTCAAAAATCCCAGGGAGCACAACTAGAGCCCTGCACGGGCCTAAAATCTGAGCCCGTGTCCGGCCCGGCCCGAGGGGGTGGAGCCCCAGCCCGATCCAGCCCGAAAAGGTTTTCAGGATTCTTTGGCCCGGCCCGAGCCCAAGCCCGACTTTTTTTAACCAACTAAATGAAAACAAAGTGCGTCAATCCTGACCAATGTGTTAAAAGATGTGCAGGATCTGAGCGTCGCAGAAGCGCATGCGGGAAGCTTCCCACTGAAGCGAGTGTTTTCCAAACCCGGTCTCTCAGAGAGACTTGTCACTTAGAAAATGTTCCCTGATGATGAAACTTTGGCTGAATAGCGCTTGTTCCTGTCTCCAATGTGCGACACATCCAGGAGCCGTCTGAGGAGAATCCCAGAATCTCACATCCTCTTCAGCTCAGGAAGCGCATATGATTACGCACAAGCGTGACCCAACCTGGTCTCACAGTAAGACTGGGTTGGAACTGTTCAGGTTTACGCAGACAATCTTCACATAGAATTGACTTACAGATATAAAATTAATTCAGTAAAATATAAAGCATTTTATTTAAATATCCATTCATTATTTTACAAGCACATCGGCAGATGGATGGAAGAGCCGCGGGTTGCCGATCCCTGCTCTAGTTCAAGATATCATTAAAATTCCAAAAGTGCTGAAAAGATTAAAAATGGGGCTTTCCGTGCACATACAATACATTACGGTAGCCACCGGGATTCCCTGTCTTGAGCACAACGAATCACAACACAGATTCAGAGACGTGCGAGTTTGTCATCCAAAATGCTCCGTTTTGTAACTTTTGAATGGTTGATCAGATTCAAATAATTCCAACGGTTCCTAAAAGTACATAAAAGCAGCTTTCCAACGATCTATAGCATGAAGCAATCAGAGTTAGAGAAAATATCGCTACGAGGGGAAACCCTGCTGTACAGCCTGATTGAAACGGAGCGCAGCGCCGCTGTGAAAGCGGATAACCTATAAAATGACACGTTGAGGACGCAAACTCAATACATCTCTTTTATTGTGAGGTAATAATTTCTCCGAGTTTTGCGGTTGCGGGCGGGAGTAGACGTGCACGCTGCAGGTGCAGGCGGGAGTAGACGTGCACGCTGCAGGTGCGGGCGGGAGTAGACATGCACGCTGCAGGTGCGGGCGGGAGTAGACGTGCACGCTGCAGGTGCGGGCGGGAGTGTAACACACGTTGCGGTTGCAGGCTGTAATGGTCAGAAATTCAGCGGGAGCGGAGCGGGATGAAGAAAACAGTCCCGCACAGGGCTCTACTGCTGCATTTAAGTGTTTTAATTTTTTTAATGATTTCGAATAAAAATAAAGGCGCCCGGCCCGGCCCGTGTCCGAGGTAATTACACAGTCGTTGGCCCGAAGCCCGGCCCGAGGGCCGTCGGGCCGGGCCGACCCGAGGGCCTAGGGCTTCAGTGCAGGGCTCTAAGCACAACCTCCAGCAAAATAGCAAAAACATCAGATTCCCTTTCATCACTGGCAATGAGTGAAGAGTAAAAGTGTAAAACAACAATGTTTATTAATGGTGAAAGCTTTGTAACAATTTGTTACAAATCAGTAAATGTGTTTTGTCCTCGCGGCCTTCCATAGAAGGAAACACAGCTTCCAATATGGCGTCGCCCAGAGACTTAGACCCGCTCCCATGCATTTTAGACCAGATTTTTATGGGTATATGTTATAAAACTGTCAATATTTTTCAAAAAACTGGGCATCTTTTAATTCATTTACAACAACATTTCAACGAATATTTCCAGAGATTAATGGTAAAAACTACACATTGTCACTTTGAAATAATAAAACCAGGACAGGTAACTGTCTAAAAATCAAACGGATAAGTTATTTTTATTGGTGCAGGAATCACATCTTAGTAATTGAAGTCTATGATTTTGTCTTAAAGATCTTGCTCACTGAACCTCCCTTGAATCCCACAAAGAACCGTGAGAAAGTAGCTGAGGTGATGTTTGAAAACTACCAGTTCCACGGCATCTATGTGGCTATTCAGGCTGTGCTTACTCTGTATGCTCAGGGTAAGAAATTAAGTGTTACGTCTGTGTCCTGCTTTCACACTCCCAAACCCTCCTGTAGTTGTCAGATATTTCCAGATGCAACCAAAATAATGTTTGAATTTTGCCTTCAGGTTTGCTTACTGGCGTGGTTGTGGACTCCGGAGATGGTGTCACCCACATCTGTCCAGTTTATGAAGGCTTTTCTTTACCCCATCTCACCCGCAGGCTGGACATTGCAGGGCGAGACATCACACGCTACCTGATTAAGGTACGCTGAAAAAACACCAGTGCCAGAAGGCCGAATCACAAAAATGCAAGCAAACATGCAATATCTTACACGCTTTAATGTTCCATCAGCTCCTTCTGCTGCGCGGCTACGCCTTCAATCACACAGCTGATTTTGAGACAGTGAGGATGCTGAAGGAACAGCTCTGCTATGTGGGATACAACATTGAGCAGGAGCAGCGTCTGGCCACAGAGACCACCTTTCTGGTTGAGTCCTACGAGGTATATTGGTCATACGAGCAACTTCCACACATTTTGACAGAGTTAAATTATGCTGAAATAGATATGTGAATCTTGCTTAAAGGGTACGTGGAAGTTCGCCCAACCAATATACATGTGCTTTGTGGATTTGGACAAAGCGTTCGACCGCGTCCCTTGGGAGGCCCTGGGGGGTACTCTGGGAGTATGGGGTACCAGGCCCTCTGATATGGGCTGTTAGGTCCCTGTATGACCGGTGTCAGAGCTTGGTCCACATTGCCGGCAGTAAGTTGGACTCCGCCAAGGCTGCCCTTTGTCACTGATTCTGTTCATAACTTTTATGGACAGAATTTCTAGAAGCAGGTGGTGAGGGGATCTGTTTTGGTGGACTAAAGATCGAGTCTCAACTTTTTGCAGATGATGTGGTCTTGTTGGCTTCATCAGAACGGAGAGGTTCTCAGACGAGTGTGATGCAGCTGGGATGAGAATCAGTTCCTCTAAATCCAAGACCATGGTCTTGAGTTGGAAAAGGGTAGAATGCCTTCTCCAGGTCAGGAATGAGGTCCTACCCCAAGTGGAGGAGTTTAAGTATCTTTGTGTCTTGTTCGCAAGTGAGGGAAAGATGGATAGCAAGATCGATAGGTGGATTGGTGCTGCGTCTGCAGTGATGCGGGCGTTGTACCGATCTGCCACGGTGAAGAGAGAGCTGAGCCAGAAAGGGAAGCTCTCTATTTACCGGTTGATCTACGTTCCAATCCTCACCTATGGTCATGAGCTTTATTAGTAGTGACAGAAAGAACAAAACTGCAGATACGAACGGTGGAAATGAGTTTCTCCACAGGGTGGCTGGGCTCTCCCTTAGAGATAGGGTGAGAAGCTTGGTCATCCGGGAGGGGCTCAGAGTAGATGTACCGCTCCTTCATGTTGAGAGGAGCCAGTTGAGGTGGCTCGGGCATCACGTCAGGATGCCTCCTGGACGACGAGGTTTTCCGGGCACGTCCAACTGGGAGGAGACCCAAGGGAAGATCCAGGACACGCTAGAGGGACATGTCTCTCGGCTGGTCAAGGAACATCTTAGTGTGGTAAGGTGGAGAAACGAGGGCCCGGGCGGGATTCGATCCCCAGACTCCCGGGTGAGGGTCACGCGCGCTAACCAGTCAGCCAAAGGGACATCCCCTTGGCCAAGTAGCCAGGACACATGATCAATCGGGACACTGTCAGGACGATCACACTGCCACATTAGGATTCCCCAGGAGGAGCTGGCCCAAGTAGCTGGGGAGAAGGAAGTCTGGGTCTCCCTGGTAATTAAAGGGGAAACATGTGAGAGACAGTTATTGATATAAGGACATAATTTATTGTTTCATCAGCATAAAAGTACCTTCAACAATAAGTGGTTTTCTACCATTGCTGTATAAAAATTATATGAAGGATTTGTTGGTCTAAACTTAACTTTTAAATATTAACATGTAAGTTATCTGCCATCTTTGTGTCAGCTTCCTGATGGTCGGCAGGTGAACGTTGGCGGGGAACGTTTCGGAGCACCTGAAGCTCTCTTCCAGCCTCACCTCATCAACGTGGAGGGAGTTGGCGTGGCCGAGCTGCTTTTCAACACCATCCAGGCTGCAGACATCGACCTCAGGTCTAAGCCTCCTCCCTGCTCTACAGTGAAGCTCCACAACCTCTAACACCTTCTAACGGAAGATGCCAGTAGTCACACATCTCTTCTGTGTTTACTTAAACAGGGCCGACTTTTACAAGCACATTGTTCTGTCGGGCGGGACCACCATGTACCCTGGCCTTCCATCCAGAATAGAAAGAGAGATCAAGCAGCTCTACCTGGAGAGAGTTCTGAATGGAGACACGGATAAACTAGCAGTAAGAACCCCAATTGGTGCTGATGGCTCGTGACACAACACTTATTATGCAGAGGTGGAAGGCATTGTGGGTCCAGCTGCTCGAAGAGTCCATATTCAGTGATGGGTTGATTATCCAGCGTGGTAAAATCAGGACATGACAGATTTCTGAGTCCACTGTAGGGTTTACTAACGTCTCACTCTACTCTTCACCTCCGCAGAAGTTCAAGATCCGAATCGAGGACCCTCCTAGACGTAAACACATGGTGTTCATGGGCGGCGCTGTGCTGGCCAACATCATGAAGGACAAGGACACCTTCTGGCTGAGCCGACAGGAATACCAGGAGAAAGGCCCGGGAGTGCTGCAGAAGCTCGGAGTTGGAGTCAGATGAAACAAAAACCCATCCATCTGACTTCCTAAGCTTTTACTTCAATTCTTTTACAGTCGTTGTTTTGAGTCATGAAACTGTTGTCTCTAAAATGACTGGCTTTTCTAATCAACAATGGAAAGAAATGTTGAAAATAAATAGGAACTCTTCTTTAAATGCAAACTTTGCAAATGGTTTGATCTGATATTGGAGGTCTGGTGTGAGAGCATGTGAAGAGGGTCAGATACGTGTGTCTAATGCTGAAAGCTTGAGAGTTGGCAGCCTTACGAATTCCATTTAAACAACCCCAATGAGAAGTGTACACATTTATAAAATAGTGTTGCTAGGACTGCTGTAATATTTTGATGATTGGGGTCATTTAAAGATGGCAGCAGTTCACTGGCCACACTCAAACTAGCCACAAGCTCATCAGTGATGTAAATCTTAATGTAACAATGAGCTTTTTCCAGCTCCCCCCTACTGGTTGAAAGTGGAATACCTGCCGTAAACAACCTTATTGTAGCTTGCAATAACAAGCTAGTACTAACATGAGCCAACTAATATTAAAATAAACCACAAAGTAAAAAGATCCACACTGTTGAACAAAAATATTATTACTCACAAGTCCACTAGCAACAAAGCCAGGTCACCATCAGTCCGTGATTTTTTAGTCTCCTTTAGCTCCCTCAAACTAGCGTAGGCCTTACTGATGTTCACTGTTTTTAGCTCTTTGCTTCGCTTCCTAAGACTTTACTCTCTTACATTTACTTCCAGGCTCCACCATGATGCCAAAAGAAAAAGCAAACTTCTTTTTCTTGTTGTTGTTGTTTTTAATTGACCATCGGCAAACTGAAAATGCGAACCACTAGCATTACAGCTAGTAGGACACCTGCCTGCTCCACAAAACTATGTAGTGTGACTTTTGCTCAGCAGAGTGCTGCAGAGTGGTGTCAGATATGAAACCGGTCATGTTTTTAACCCAACAATCACTGAGATCAATGTTAAAGTATTTAGTGTTACTTTAATTTCCCAAACAGAGGTTGATCATGATGCTAAAATGGTAAAATGTTAATAATTTAGAATATTTACATGCAAAATACCTTCTAACGTGATGTAAATTTCTCATTGAAGGGTACAAATAAAGAAAAATATCACTAAAGTTAAAAACCTGAATGTGATTTCTGTCATTCTGCGACTGAAAGTTGCTCAAATTTTCGTACATTCCCTTCGTTTCTCGTCACCCAGGACAAACACGTTATCCTCAAACATTACAGTTTTTAAAGATACACATGTTGATTTGAATTGATCCACATCTAGATTTTAATATTAAATCCAGGCATTCAAAGGCAATCAGTTGAAGCCAATATTGATGAATTTGCTGCGCCCTGGTGGTTGAGTCCTTCAGCACATCCACCTCACAAGCACACTTCGGTTCAAATGAACAAATGTTGCAATTTTTATTGCGATAGCGAGTTTTCTGACAAAATACAGTTGTGTGTTTTTTACACTGAAAAGAAATAATGAGCTCTCACAGTGAACACATGCTTCACATACACACACACACACACACACACACACACACACACACACACACACACACACACACACACACACACACACACACACACACACACACACACACACACACACACACACACACACACAGGAACAAACAGGCATACATACAAAACACACCCGCTGAACCTTCACGTTAAATGAAAAAGCATGCAGTAATGTTCAAAACACACCAAAGGACCTTCTCAGCTGAATTAAAAACTCCAGTCATGCTGAAAATCCAAACTTTCTTGTCTGCCCAACAAACCGAACAGCTAAAAGTTAGTTTTAAATACACAATCTGCTATTTGATATTGACGCTGAGTCAAACGGTCAATTGGCGGTGATGGTTTGCGGCAGGATTCCCCAGAAGCTGGTGACATGGACATTTACATTCTTCCAGGCATCTTGAGGTCCCGGTTTATTCGTCAGTGTTGTCTCGTGGCGCATCACATTACAGAGCGGCCGAGAGACACAACCGAACATAAAAAGCGGAGAACGTGGAATGAACGCAGTTCTGAGAGGCTTCAACTCTGACATGGATACATTCGTGAGTCAGTTGTCCAGGAGAGGTGATGGGATGTACCCCCCTTTCCTCCCTCACATGATTTAGAAACAAAGAGCAATCGCTTCCCACCAACTTGCCCATTACTCCACCTGCTAAAGCCATGTGAGAGATCTGAAAATCTGTGCTTTTGTTCCACTGATGAGCAAAAATAAAACTGTCCCTGTGGGGCACAAACAGCTGATTCGAAGCTCCCTTTGAGCTTAAAAACTGATTTCCTCCAAAGTAAACACTATTATCTCACAAAATGACATCTGGAGTAGGTATTCTGTCACTTTGGTACTAAGGTTTGGTCTTCTTGGCTTTACCTCTCTGTCGTTGCCACGACTACGGCTTGCATCCCCACCTTCACACTTCACCCAGACATCTGCAGACTTTTACACACAAAGTGAAGCAATAATACATCCAAGCGTCTTTTAGGTTTCGCCCAGAACTACGCTGTGAAAGGGTTACATCACCACGGTGGACATTTTGCCTTCCAAAGTGAGGAAAGTGCTTTTGTTTCCAGGCAACAGTAGTCTCACAGAATTTGTTTTTGGGCTTCAGCCTCCTCGTGCTCTAATGATGTCATCCCTTCACGGCGCAACTCTGGGTTCATGTTTCACATCACAATCAAATCCATTTATTACACATTTTCCACAAACAGTACACTCCTTTACACTGGCAGCCGCACCGAAGCGGCACAACTTTTGCTGAGTTGCTCCTGCTTTGATCCGCTTGGGAAAGAGTCAGGAGTTGTCAGGAGGAGGGCAATGTGTTCTCGATGACAACAATGTTCTGATCCACGACGCCGAGCGGCAACCGCCGGAGAGAAGAGACAGAGAGAGAAAGAGATGGAGATAAAGACCAACCAACTCCTCCTGCTCTTCCTCCCTCCCCCTTCCTCTGTGCCTCCCACTCACTCCTCACACACAGACTCGCTCAGGTCCACGGCGCCACCTCTGGTGAGCCGCCGCATCTTGCTGAAGTCGTGGTCGGTCCTCAGGTAGGAGAGAGAGGGGCCCCCTTCGCTGTGGCTGGCAAGGTCCTGGGGCTGGGCCTGAGGCGGCAGGGCCCTCATCTCGCCGCCGCTGCGCCAGTACAGGGTGTATTGCTGCGGGTCGGACACTCCGAAGGTGGCGGCACACAGCTGGGCCAGGGCCTGGCTTGTCTCCCCGGCCCTCCACTGCAACGTCCGCACGGTGCTCCGCTCCCCGTCCTGGAACAGTATCCGAACGCACCTCTGCAGGGGAGGAAAGGAGAAAAGATGCAGAGAGCAGCAGTGAATGCGTATTGTGTTTATGACAAACAGAGGTCAAGAGGCGTATGGATCGGGGTCAAATGAGGGGGAGGAGAGAGGGATGGAGCCAGAAACGGAGAGAAAAATGTGGACGGTGATAATCTGACAATAAAAAATCCTGAAAGTGTCTAGATCAAAGCATCACATTCAAATCCACTTCTTCTAACGGCTCTTTTCTCAGCTTTCACAAACTTTTAAAATCAGAAAAAAAGAGAAAAAAACCCAAGCAGCTCTGGGGAAATTCTCTCTCTTTACTTTCATCCAAACACTTTTCTTTTCATCCCAAAAGAGCGAAAAGCAACTCAACACGAAAACCAACAAGCTGCATCTCTTCAAAGGCTTCGGCTATTATATAAGCTGACATTCAACCACCTACAGACGGCCTTACAACCCTCTCCTCACACACAAACACACCGCGACAATCCCCTCATCAAACATCCAGCCTGAAGAAAACCAAAGCAAATCCTCCTCTCTTCCCCTACACACACACACACACACACACACACACACACACACACACACACACACACACACACACACACACACACACACACACACACACACACACACACACACACACACACACACACACACACACACACACACACACACACACACACACACACACACACCAACAAACTACCTCCCGCAGCACAAAAGCAAAAGTGGCCACACAGGTGGTTAAATAGAAAAATCTGAAACACACACAGCAGCAGTCACAATCAACAGGTCAGCTGTCCTCCAGCAAAACTCACAGAGTCACTGAGCTCCTCGCTGTCCGTGTGCATATTGTGTTTGCCTGCTTCGATGGGTAGATGCAGCTCAATAAATTTCATGTTATCTGACCGCCCACCTCTTCATAGCACTTGGCTCACTGATCCCCGCCTGTGTCAGTGGAGAATCTGGCTGCCCGGTGAGTTAGATCGGCTATTTGAAGCCAGGAGAGGCACCACGTGACAAGATAGAAACGTGGATGATAATGCTTTGTTTTTTTTTTCTAGATGGCTTCTGGTGAACCGTTCCACCAACCTGGGATCAGGAGGGTGATACAGGGGAGTGTAGGAAATGAAAAAAACATGGAAGCCAATGTGTGCTGGTATTTATGTGAGCTGGAGGCTTCTGATCAAAGGATTACCTTCTAGAAAGGGCTGAAAAATAATCCTCCCCCCACTGTGTCCCGTTTGAAAACAAGCCAAGTGTTTGTTTCACTTTTTAAGGAAGACTTCCTCTTTGAAAATCTTTTCTTTTTTTACTTAAGGAAAGAATTCAGGAAATTCCCCTAACAAAACGCAGTGACCTGAGGTCAAAATTTGAGTCTAATTTGAGCGGCTGCTCCACCGCATCTGCGAGTTTCACAGATGTAGGACAATCAGATGATGACGAGCGTGCTTCACCATCAGAAAAAGTAATTACAGTAATGTCTGACCCTACTGCAGGTGGATTATTTCTGCCTTTGCTTTTGCTAATTCTGGCCTGATAGAAGACAGAATAGGTTTGAAACAGGCTGAACTTACAAAAGGCAGTTTTCCTTTATAAAGGGAGATAACCTTGTAATTGTATAAATTCATGTGAAGGTTGAACAATTCTGTTAATGAGACTGTTAAGGTTTTGGTTTCACACAGTGACACCAGTTATGCATCTTTTCATTGGAAGCACTGGATTAGATTCTGTGTTTTTAAAATTTCCACTGTCTTTTACTTTTTTGCACATCCTGGCCTCACGTTGTGTCCTTGGGCAAGGCACGTCACCCTCCCCGTCTACTGGTGGTGGTCAGAAGGGCTGGTGGTGCTGATGGTGTGGTAGCCTCATTTCTGTCAGTGTGCCCCAGGGCAGCTGTAACTTCAATGTACCTTATCACCAGTAGTGTGTGTGTGTGTGTGTGTGTGTGTGTGTGTGTGTGTGTGTGTGTGTGTGTGTTGTGAGATTATTCTGTAAAGTGCTTTAAAGTCCCTGACTTAGTAAAGCACTATTCAAATGTGCAATATTATTATATCACTAATAACCCTTGGGTCCCTTTAATAACGTTGCATGGTGCACTAATCAGCATCAATAAACAAAAGATCCTTTATTAAGGTTCCCAATGTTGTTAACTATTAAGTGTCCTTAAGGTTAGGACATAGGGCTGGGGTGTGTGTGTCCTGTTTAGTAATGTGTTCTTTAATATTAACATTCATATTAAGCAGTTGTTAATACTTTAGTAGTTTATTAATGCTTAATAATGCACCAAGTAACGTTAACTCGTTCAATGCCATTGACGACTAAAGCTATCAATTGTGTTGTGTAACAGGGAACGAGCTTGTGCACCGTGAGGGTAAACATCATGGCTCTACAGCTGATCTTCACCCACGTGTGTCACACATCTCCAGATCAGGAAGCAGACAATCCATGAACTAGGAGATCGTTTTTGGATGTTGCTTGGAAGAAAGCGAGGCGCTAACCAGAAAAGCTCCCGCAGCTCACACTTCAACAACAGATTGTGAAAGACTGGAAAAAGCTAGAAACACGCTGATTCTTCCTGATGTAAGAAGTGAGTCCACTTGTTCTTTTGGTAGTTTTGTTGTTTACATGATCATAGAGCACAAGGTTCTGTGACGCTTCAAAAGAAGAATAAAAATGCTGAAAAACGCTGGCATTCAAGGGCTTTCTGTTCACATAACAGCCGGCAGTGAATGAGTTAATAAATGGATCCTTGTTGTAAAGTGCTACCATATTATTATTATTATTATTATTATTATTATTATGTGAAAAAGTACCCCCCCCCCCCCCCCCGAATTGTGAATCAATTGGGATTATCAATTCAATTCAAGTTTATTTATATAGCGCCAACTCACGACAAGAGTCGTCTCAAGGCACTTCACTTAATAAAAATTCCAATTCAAGTCAGTTCATTAAGCCAATCAGAAATAATGTTTCCTATATAAGGAACCCAGGAAATTGCATCAAGTCACTGACTACTGTCAGTGACTATATCAGCCACATCCAGGCTTGATTTCTAACAGACCTTTAGCATAAAGTAATCAGATCAATTAAACCTGTACGACAACAGAAACAATCCCAAAAAGCAACCCATCTTGCGAGTTGCGTTGCTATTATCCAATCAGAAGTGAGATATCTAAATATCAGGAAATGAGTCCAGATCCTGTCGTGTTCAGCTCACCTCTGATCTGGCTTAATTCTACTTCCTGAAACTGTTGCGCTAGAGCTTCATTCCCACAGAAATCAACTCACAAAGCATTCAGTTATGCTAGAGACCACAGCAAATGTGTTGAAAGAACAAGTGAACTTGGTATTTGAAGCTAAGGTCGGAGGTCAGGGTCCAACAATGAAAAACATCTTCTCCAACCCTAACCCCCCATGGGCTTCCAAAGCCAAAACCAGCTGACTAAAAATGAAAGACAAAAAGACCTGTCTCTTATTTACAACAACAACAACAACAGAAAAACATCCCAAGGCTTTTGGGAAAATGTTCCGTGAACTAATGAGACAAAAATGGAGCTTTTGGAAGGTGTGTGTCCCTTTGCTTTAAACATCTTTGGTATGTTCTTGCTGTGTCCAGTTTCTAATTCAATTTTTGGTTCTTTTCTAAAACACAGAAAAGTTTTTTTTTTACCTTGCTGACAGTTTTGTTTGCCGACTGCAAAATTTCCTATGAGCTGACACTGATGGTGGCGTCAATTCCTACTCTTGTTTATCCGCGAGCAGCAGAGGACGTTGTCGCCCTCTGCTGCCCGCTCTTCCCTCACCGATGATGCAGTCCCACGCACGATCCAATGGGACAATGGACACGACCCCATCGTCTCTGTTCACCTCCCATTTCCCCTCAAAAACGTGTTATTGGAGCCTATGGAAATGAGTTGTCCAGTATATATGTCGATGCCTCCACCTCTGCCCACCTTCAGTGTCCCAGCTGCAAGCCATCAGCTAATGACGACTGATGGCTTAAAGGACTGCAGCTTTCAGTTCTCTGAGAGACAACCACAGCCTAAACACCTGTTCTTCTCTCCTCGGTCCTGGGATCATTTGGTAGTAAACGGTTTAGCGTGTTGATAAATTTGGTTAAGAACTTTGGTAAATTCAGTGTTTAGGATAGATAGTTCTCTTGTTAAACCCTTTGGCAATTAATAGCCGTTTTTCATTTAGTGATCCTTTTCGTCTGCTCTAGAGCTTGAATTTCAGTTTCCTTTTTCAGCCCTAGAGCTCGCTTTAGTTTTGTTAGACAGAATAATATTTAGGATAATTATAGCCGTCGAGATTTGTTTTAGTTATTTAGCTCTGGCATTTTAATTTAATAAAGATATTCTCGTGTTTTCTTCCTGGAGGCCTTTTGCCTCAGGTGTTTTGAGTTTTCTCCGTCGCCTTTGTTTAGTTAGATTAGGGTGCATTTTCGTTTAGTCATTTTATTCCGGTCAAGGACTGAGTATTTGTGTTAACCCCTTTGTTAATAAAATACATTTTATTTACACTCCCCCTTTCTCCGCACCAGTTCTTATTTTACCCCTCTACCACAACGCTTAACATCATCAGGGTTTGTAACATAAATGGGGGCTCGTCCGGGATTTGAACCCGGGACCTTTCGTAACCAGGATTTCTGCTCTCTGGTAGAAAATACTCAGGTAAAATATCTGACCTTTGACCTTGAACAGGCAGGCCATGCTAGAAAACTCTCCAAACAGCTGAATTAAAACAAATCAGGAAAAGTGAGGGGAATGAAATATCTCCATGGTGATGTAAGAGACTCATCACTAGTTACCACAAATGTTTGCTTACAGCTGTTACCAAAAGTGTTGTAACCAGTTATTATGTTTAGCAGGGCCAGGGTTTGTTTGCTTTCTCTCAAAGAATGAAATTATGATTTGAAAAGGGAATTTAGCTTTTACTCAGTTTATCTAACTGACACTGAAATGTATTTTCCTATGTGATCTATCTAAGTGCTACAAAGAAGCAAAAGGAGAAAACATTTTGTATTTATGTACTTTACTCCCAAGCCATTAGTCACAAAAACGTGTAAATAAAGGAAGGTTTTTTTGTCATGTTTTTGTGCAAATGCTGTACGGATATTAGTTACTTATCTTTTCAGGTGGAATGCTGCAGTTTGCAGGCACCGGATGGCACACTGACATAAATGAATCCCAGTACATTTATGTATTCAAAAAAGGTCAAATCAATAGTTCTGCTGGAGAGAAAACGAGTCTCTGAGAAGTAAAATATGAGGTTTTGTTATTCAGCTAATATTTGTCCAAAATAAATAAATAAAAAAATAAAAATAAAAAAAAAACAATATAAAACTCTAAAAGTAAAATCATATGAAGATGTTCTAAAATGACCAACAGCAGACTTGATCTTTTAGATCGTTATAGCTACAGACTAAAATCCTTGACTACATTTGTGATGCTAACAGTGTTTCTTATTGTGATACTAAAGCCCAAAGCAGCTGGTCCCTACTTGGCTCTGCTGATTCTCCTTTTGTTTCTGGGCCTCCAGGCTCCGTCTGCAGCTCCACTCCTTCAGGGAATCCTGGACTTGTGGCGTCAGGCTGCCCGAGAACGGCTGCCCCTGTTCCAGGTTCTGGATCAGACACAGGCTAACATACACACTGGTCAGGTAGTACCCACCTGGAGAGGAAATAAACAGATATAGCAAGAAAAATGGTATATAAATAAATAAATACAAGGCATGCATTGAGTTTCTTTTTTTATTTGGGACTATTATTGGGTCAAGCGAAATCTGCTTTAAAACTACATGTCATGGGCAAAAAAAAAAATGGTCAGTTTAAAAAAACCATGAAACAGCAATCTATGAGTTCATTACATCCACAGACTAGATAACTGTAACGGACTGTTCTTTGGTGTTTTTTCTTTATATTATTCCCTGCAGAGTAAGTAGTTTCAGATATAGAATTTTAAATTTCCCGTTTACATCATGTGAGTCTTTTAATTTGATGTCAGTGTTTTTATGTTCTGGTTTTGTATTGAAACAACACTTTGGACAACCCAGGTGTCATACATTTTAAAGTGCTTCATAAATCAACTGGTATGGTATTGTAGTGAGGCAGATTATTGATTGTATAGTTTGTTTAATCATTTTTAACAGTGATGTATTTTCATTTATGTGATTAGCTATGAGACAACCTCTGTAGATACCAGATGTGATAGAGGTGCCGTATCTGTTCCGTAGCCACGCGCCTCCTAATGATGTCCCACAACATGATTGGCTGGATGTTGACGCATTGACATAGAAGATTTTTGTTGGTCGTGCATTAAGTTGGCACATTATGTGCTCCTGTAGCCAGAACTAAGTGTTGTAATTCTTCTTGGTAGGAAACTTCCATGAAGATAAATATCATTACCTTATTTAACTGATATTTAGTCCAATAAATAATCCCAGACTGCACTCCATAAATAAAAAATATTATTTATATACTCAAATTCCTTTACCCGTATGGGAAAAATAACAATAACAAAAAGTTTTGGGGATTCTTATGGAATGCAGGGCTGTTTTGAATAACTTTATTGAACAAAAAGCAAGAAAACAACATAAGAACAAATGAAGTATGCTACTTACTAACAGCCAGGGGTGCTAATTATCTAAATAAATGCAAAAATGCACATATAAGAATTGAGTCTAATTTCAATTTTAGTGTTCATTTGGTAAAAAATTGGGGGCAATGTGTTGTGTCTGGTACCTACACCTCTCAACCTCTAGGAGTTGTTGTAATCCAGAATAATTAGTTACCTGCTTCCTTCAGAACATAGTCGGTGTCTTCTTTAAAAAAATCTAATTTAGCTCTTAGCTGTCTATTTATTATTATTATTATTTTTTTTTTTTCAAAAATAGATCTGTTGTCTGGTATATCATAAAAAAGTGTTTCTCTTTTCTTTTTTGACCAAAAATGGCATGAGCCTAATGCACCATATATCTCCCAATGTTAGGAGCAGAATCAGTCAAAGGCAACTCAAAAATTTCACCTAACATTGTTTAAAATGCAGTGATAAGTATTATTTCTGCTCCCAAGAGTGATTTCACTTTGGTTCCTGAACATTTTCCACATATTTGAGTCAAACCGCAGTAAAAATTGCTGCACATCTATTGTATCACATCTTTATTTTGTTGTTGTTGCAAATTTAAAGTCATGTTGAATTTAGAGGATCTAGTGGATTTTTGAGCTCTACATAAATTATACTTTGCAGGATAGAGTTAATCACTCATTTTTGACACATTTGCAGTGGTCTCTAGTATAAATGAATGCCTTGTGGTAACAAAAGCTCTGGTGCTCCTGTTTCAGGAGCTAGAAGTGAGCCAGAGCAGGGGTGAGCAGACAGCAGGCTCTTATTTGCTGATATTTGGACATCTCGCCTCTGATTGGCTAACAGCAACACGACTCAGTTTGCTTTGCAACATGGAAGTTTTAACTAGATAACACAAGCCTGGAGAAGTTCCGCTGTGTGGTGGAGTTGCTAATTCTAACAGTTAGCTTCTACTAGTTGAGATGTATGCTGTTTCCTGGACGCTAAACCAACAGCAGCCATCCCCAAGGTCAGTGAAGATGGGTGAATCAGTTTTTCAATGTGATATGAAATTGACTGGCTTATGTATCTGTATCGGTAGCTAATGCAGCAAATAGGGATAAAAGACTGTTTTCACATTCAGCCTGCATGTGAAACTAAGTGATCGATCACATTTCAAAATAACAAGTAAAAACAGTTTCTGAGTGAAGATACAAGATAGCTTAGCCTGATAATCATGTGGTTACTATAAAAAAAAGCAGGCAGCCGATCTGGTAGTTTGTTGAGAAAAAAAAAACAACAACAAAAACACAGATGACAGCTTTTTTTGGGTCAGCGTTTGGGTCAAACCTTCTCCACCAAGCCAGGAGGGCTCCAGCAGCTCCATCATGTACTCCACCTCTATTAAGAGTTGAGGCCGGTTACATTCCACTATCACGTAAGATAACGATGGAAGGAGGTCATCCCAGCTAACTTCCTGTCCTGAAAAGACAAACGAAACGACTACCATTGATTTAGCATTGAAATGGGAGTTGACCATTTGATTGTAAACATTAAAAGTATCCAGCAGTCTCACCGTGTAAGGTTCCCATGGCCTTGTGGACATATTTGCACACCTGTAGCAGCAGGAGCACTTTGTCAATCGGCGAGTGCGTCCGCTGCATCAGAGTCAGCTTCTGCTTCACCTTCTCCACCTCCCGGCTATCCGGGACTCCGGTCCGTACGCCGAGCTTCTCCATGGCTGCGTCCCCTTTCAGGCGAAGCATGTTCTGCGTGAGGCGTTGGATGGAGCTGTCCTGATTATGCAAAGCCATCATTGCTTTCTCAAGGTGGCACCTTAGAGGCCTGAGGATGCAGGAGAACATGGCCCTCTCCAACGCCAAGTCTATAGGGAAGAGGGAGGGTTCAAATTTTAGGAAAGAAATAAATCCATTTCTACAAATGCTGGTGTAATCATTTCATTTGTATAAAAGCTGTCTTCCACAAGCAGCACAAGTCAGAGCAGATTTGCAAACATTCAGACATGTTGCTATCCAAGAGCCTGTAATTTATCATTTGTTTCCAGACCTCCCAAACACAAACCTATTGTGCTGGAACAATAAATACTAACGACAGCTAAATTGCACCACTGAACACTCACAGTGTGTAAAAACTGAGTTAATCTTATCCTTGTAGCATTTTAACTTTTTTCTTTGTTTTAGAAAATGTAGTTTTTCACTCTTCAGCAGTGAATTCCTCATTTTTGTTAAGAGTCGGACAACAAGCCTGATGAAATGTGTCAAACCACACATAATAATACATCTGCAGTCATTCTCAAAACAAAATTGAAACGCTAAAGTTGTTTTCGGCAACAATTGTTCAATAATTAACCCTTAAGGACCCGTGGTGTCACAGTCTATTTTAAGCTTCTGCAAAATTGCTTCTGGAGTTATATATTCAAGTTAGACAACCCCGAAGTGACATTCTGTCCATACAGAATTAACTTCTTTATTTGATTTTATATATTTTTTTCTACATGTTGATGCATTTGTTGTTTTCTGTTTCAAAGGATTTGGGTCCTTTAGGTTTAGGGCCATAATTTTGCCGATGTGTGAGAGTTCTAAGGGCTGGTTGAGTCAATGCATAATTCACTTGATGCAGAATCCCCAAAAATAATTTTTACCACATGAATTCATTCATTTTGTTCAACTGTCAAAAATCCATAAAAGTAATTTCAAGGTGCCAATGCATTTTCCCTAGTTTATTAGACTTTTCATCTTTTGTAAACAGTGTCCTCTTAAGTCCTTTATCCCTTCTGAAGAAGCATCACAAGTGAGGACAAACCCATCTTTAAGACAGTATCAAAATGAAATCAGCTTCCTTCTATTAAACTTTTAAGACTGCCATGTCCTCGAAGGGTAAACGTCTTTACAAGCACGGATTGCACAGATTGCACCCTTCTAAATGCACAGAAGACAACAGAGGTTGTTGTGGACTTTAGGAAGCACACAGTCCCACTCCCCCCAATAACCCTGCCTGACACTCCCATCACGATGGTGGACTCATGTTGCTTCTTGGGCACCTCCATCACCCAAGACCTCAAGTGGGAGCCCACCATCACCTCCATCATAAAAAAAGGCCCAACAGAGGATGAACTTCCTGAGGCAGCTGAAGAAATTCAACCTGCCAGCACAGTCGATGAGGCAGTTCTACACCGCAATCATCGAGTCCATTCTCACCACAATCACCGTGTGGTTCACTGGAGCTACAATCAGGGACAAGAAGAGGCTGCAGCGTGTTGTACGCTCTAATGAGAAGGTCATTGGTTGCAAACTCCCCTCCATACAGGACCTGTACACCTCCAGAACATTGAGGCGTGCAGGTCGGATCACAGCAGACCCGTCTCACCCTGGACACAGTCTCTTCGACTCGCTCTCATCTGGCAGAAGGCTCCGATCCATTCGGACCAGAACCTTTCACCACAAGAACAGTTTCTTCCCCTCTGCTGTTGGACTCATGAATGACAATCGTAGACCTGCCCACTCCAGCTGCTTGGTCTCAGTCACATGACCCTGTGTTGTGTTTTTACCAACTGATCTGCTCTGACCAGTACCTACCTACACTGTCTTGTTTACAGTAGCCACTTCTCTAATTATTGGCACTTTATGTCATTATTTTTTCATTATTGTATTCTTACTTCCTATAATTTCTAATCCCTCATTTTTATCTTTCCTTTTGCACCAAGGACCGCAGCAATTTCCTAATGTTGTGATTTCTCACACAAATGGCAACAAAGCCCTTCTAATTCTTCTGATTAATGCCTTGCTACACTCTCTACCTAACCTATCAGAACATAGCTGGTAAGTTTGCCACATCCTTCAGTTTGAAGAGTCATGATGGTGGTCATAAAACAGATTAATCTTGCTTTTGTACTCCTTCTTGCTCCCTCAACAAGCATCATATGTCAACAGCACATTCCCACAAAGTTCCTACAGAATTATAATCTTTTTACATCTATTCATTTATCATCTGGTGTCCACCTCTAGCAATCATTGAGTGACTAGTGGAGGGCACCCTGGACAGGTCTTCAGTTTATCCCAGGGACACACAAACACAAACAACCAGTCACACACAGTCCAACATACATATTGTTGGAGAAAACCCATGCATGCATAGGACCGTTTCCACTATCGGAACTTCAGGTAATTTGAACAGAGATACCCAGCAACTGAGTAACTGAACTGCAGTATGTACTTGGAAATGGGTGCTGGGTGGGACTTATGGTTAACTCATGCTGATTGGTTCAAACTCAAAAGGAAATTACATCACACGTCGCCAAATAACTAGCATTTGTAAAATTAGAAGAGTTGCTGGTGAAGTAGAATGGAAAGAAAAGAAACAAGAATTTCTTAACAACAAACATCAAAATGTGAGGCCGAAAATCCCCATAATTTATGTTGCTTTTTGGTCCATCACAGCGCTGGTTCTGGACATTGAATGCCACTTTTTATGTCACACAGCCGCTCTCCTTGTCCCCTGAATGTATAAAATGACAGCGTGCTTTCACAGAATAAAACAAAAAAATTATATTACTGTCCATGGATGCCTTTTGGCGCTGATCAGTGATGTCACTCACTGACCAAACTGGCGTGATATGCTGACAAAATGGATAGCAAACGAATGAAAGGACTGAGACATCATTTTTTCTCTGTCACCTTCTTCCTTACCAGAAATATCCCAGAATTCCTATGATGGAAACATGACACATATGGAGAATGTGCTAACTCCACACAAAGAAGCTGTGCAGGCAGGATTTGAACCAGCAATTTTCTTGCTGTGAGGAAACAGTGTAACCAACTGCCTCACCCAACTGCAGCCTCTTGTAGACATTTTTGTGACTGCTAATATTGATTGGCTGTGACAGCCATCTTGAATCCAGTTGACTCCAAACATTGTTGCAGCTGTAGATGTACGTCCAGTTAGCATTTTCTAAGGGTTTCATTAAAATATGTCCATTGTTCATGGATTGTTTTTCCAAGACACAATCTACACCCACACAGGAAAAAAACCTGATACCAAAGCACAGAGCTCTGTATTACACCAGTCCACGTTCGTGTACTGTACACATGCCTGCGTGCCTTCACACGTGGAAACACTCTGGGTGATTCTCCTGAAGCCAGTGGGCAGCCCTGACTCAATATTTTCCACTTATCATCAATTTCGTCCTCTCCCTCCTGTGTAATCCCCCACATCTCTCCACATTTACCTCACTACCCCTCGTGGTCAATCCCTCCCATCTCTTTCTCATTTCCTTCTGTTTACCATCTTTCTAAAGTAATATATCACATGTAATTTGATTACAGACTTGCAAGATATGAGCAGCTTAAAAACCACAAATACTTTTTAAAGCTGTTACATACAAAAGTGTAACAGATTACATTTCCCAAGTAACCTGCCTATTTCCATGCCTCCCTCCCACCCTCCCCGTGAATCGTGCTGCTTTTCAAGTGAGCGTGGGCCACTGATATCTTTTTATGATAAACGAGGGGGAGAGAAAAAAAAATGCAAATGCCTCCCACCGACGCAATGAGAGATAAATTGGAACCACGGCACAGAGAGGAAGGAAAGGAGGAAGGGGGAGAGTGGAAGGCATGCAGCGGACGGCCGATCTCCCCCGAAGCTTCAACACAGCCAGGCAACCGTCGTTCGTCATCACACGATCAAACAACAACAGAAAAAAAGAGAAACACACCTGCACGCACACACTCGGGAACACACAAAGCAGTAAAGTAAAGGAAAGCCTGCACACGGGGCTGTGAAAAACCACAGTCCTTGCAAAGTAACACCCTGCAGTGTCTGTAGGTAAGGCGAATCAAACTGAACGGGATGTGTTGAGGGTGCTTCATGCAGGGCTATCCTAATGTTTATAAAAAAAAAAAAAAAGAAAAATAACACAACACGAGCTCCCCTTACTCCATACAGGCTACTTTGTGTTGACCGTGTCTTTCACCGGAGACCGAACATCCCACCTGTTTTCAGAAAAAGCCTGTGTGTTTCCACAAGCCTGCATCCTCTGGCAATGTCTGTGTTGAATCACTGATTTGTTTTCTACTTGTCTTCCTTTTCATGCCACCAACTATTTATATATTAAAAATGATTGATTAAGAAGGGTAGAGTCCAGCCCAATCAGCTGAATTTAATCACACAAATAACTTCATTAGACTAAATGACTTTGAATAATGTTAAAAAACTATTTGACATTGAATTAAATGTACATTGCAGTTTATTTCATGTAGCTGAACCGTTCACTTTGAAGAGTCTGAAATTCTGAAGTTCACCTCCAACCTTGAGATCATGATTGTAGACTTAAATATACAATAAATATAAATAAAGTGGAATGCTCCCTATAGGAGGGTTGGGATAGACTTTCTGTCTCTTGGTTTCTTGTTCAGAGGTTGGATGAGTAAAGACAAAAGACCAGTCGATTAAGGTTTGTCATCGGAAATCAGGTGTTGCTTTGGTTTGTTATGGTAAAGAAAAAAACTGAGTCAAAAGGACAAAGTTCTTAATTTAGCAGTCCATCAAATGTTCAAACCCTCATTTCTGATCAGGAGATTTGTATAGAAAGAAGGAGATCCCGTAAACTAGGAACTCCTCACTGGAAGGAGATCCCACGACAGACCCAGAACTCCGTAAAGGCACTATCCTTTGTCCTGGGAACACCCTGGGATCACCCAGAAGGGTGCTGGAGAATGTTACTGGAAAAGTGGGATGGCTGGGTTATACTCTTGGTTCTGTTAAAGATGTAATATGCAAACAAGCTAGGTCTTGAATGCAAACATGATCACTGAACACACACCTCTCTCCTTGGGTATCTTCCCTGAGACTCTTCTGCTGGAACCAGAAATCCACAATGCCAGAGTAAACGAGCCAGCGCTAAACACCAGTTCCCATTTCTAAATGTCTTCTGTTGTCCGTTACTTCAAATGGTGTTTTTCTTTTTTGGACTCTCCTAAAGTTGAAGTGGAAGCAGCCGGCTGTTTCTCCTTCTCTGATATTACTGTGTGGAGATCCTCTCACACCAGTGAGTGTGTAATGAAAGGAGGACCCAGGGAAGTGCGGAAGTGCTGGGGTTTGGTGAGACCAACATTGGAAGAGGTTTTTAGACAAATGCAAGTGAACCACTTAATTAATTGTCTTCATTTTTATCTTCAATTTCCACAATCAATTTATAGCTGTACCATGTTAGAACGTTGTTAGGAGGCAATCAAAATGTTTTAAGCTAATTTGTTTTCAACATTTGACAGTGCAGCTTTAATTCCACAATCCGACTTTGGAAAAGTGATCAAAACTGCTTTGATATACAGTTTAATCTGTCTCAAAATTTAAACTAAAACCTCAAAATAAAAATTTATTTTCACATTGTTCTAATGAGATGACTACAACATGGAAACATTTAAGTTCTTAATAAACTTTTTTTTACTCCTCACCTTAAAAAATGGGCAGAAATTAATGTTTCTCTTCTATTTGCTCCCTTTCATTCTTTTATTAGACAGGATTTTTATGTTTATGTTTTCTTGTGTTGTGTCTTGAATGAAATAAAACTGAAAAAGAAAAGAAAACAAGAAAATAAATGAAAACTCTGTTTGACATCTTCAGTCCCAGTGCTGTACAAATATATTTTTGAACCACCTAGTCAATTTAGTAGAGCAATAAAATATATATTTTTGTGACAAACTGATCATTAAAGCTTCCCTAAATCCAATAAAATTGTGTCTTGAAAATCAAAGTAAAGGGTGGCTAGGGTTTTGACCCAAAGGACCACATCTGGCATCTGGGCCATGTCAGGAACCTGACTTGGACTGTCTTCTCGGAAAAGCCGGGTTAGACTTGTGGTTAACTCATGCTAATTGATTGTAACTCAGTGGGAAATTATATCTGCAGACGTAAACAAACAACCGGCTTCGTAGCAAAGCGGGTTCATACCTTTCTCATTCTCAGGCACTAGTGTTTCAATGGGAGGCTCCAGCTCTCTGCTGTCCAGCAAGCAGCACTTTGCCCGTGACAAAAAGAGGCGCAGACTCTGCAGAAGTTGCACAACCGTCACACAAGATGAAGAAGACGATGAAGCAGAAGCCAGAGATTTAAGCACCCCTCTCTGCTCCAGGAGGAAGTCCTGAACCATGCCCCCAAAGACCGAGCGTCTGTCTCTGGACAACTCCTCCACCAGCCGAGTCAGACGCTTGTCCGGAGCAAAGAAACAAACGAAGGCTTCGCTCATTCGGTGCAGCCCACCGCGGCCACGAGAGCGAACGAGCGGCGGGCGTCGGTACGTGTCTGTTTGGGTTTGGGCCATGCTTTCACGTTCCGGATCTGAGTCATTGTCCTCATCCATGCTGCTGAAGGAGCTGCTGCTGTCGAGCTCGGCTAAAGATGGAGCCGGTCGACGCTCCAAGGCTAGAACCGTTCCTTCGATACCCTGTTCCTGCTGGAGCTTTGGTGGCGCATCCACAGGGGTGGAAGTCTTGAACAAAAAAGAGAAATCAACCTTCAATTGATGTGAGAACTTTCAGCTGTTTGAAAATTGCATGAAGACAGAGGAAAAAAATCTGTACTCGTGCATCTAGATTGGTATAGTCTGAAATAAAAGCCCTTACTTGTGGCACATAGACAGGCATCATGTCATCTTCCTCTGCGGATCCTGGCGATACCGCAGGAGTTCTCCTCAAGACGCCGGCCCCTGCATGAACTCTCCTCTGTGAGTTGGCCTTGAGTGGCCCCTCTGGTCCATCCGGTTGCTCCATCGATGGAGAAGGTGAGTAGGATCCAACTCCCTCCAGGGACAGATTCATGGAGGTCTCTGAGAGTCTGAGCCGCATGCTGCGCTTGAAGCGGTTTCGTTTATTGGAGGCACTGTTGTTCGTCTGTTGTGGCTGCTGAATAAAAGAATTCAAGACTTGTTAGGAGTTCCAGGTTATTTAAGTAGCTAGAAAAGGAGTTGGTACTCTTCTCCTAACTAACCCTGCAAACGTCCATCTGGAGAAAGAGCGGGTTGATGAAGCAGACTTTGCCCTGCCTGCCTTGAGTCATCAGCGCACATCGCTCCTGGTTCATCTGGGCCTGACTACTGCTGGTGGATGCAACCGGACCCAGAGGTCCGTTTTGGATGTCTACAGCGCTCGGTGAACTCCAGAAGTCTGGTAGAAGGTGGTATAGAAAACATAGTTTCTGTTAAAACTTCAATTTTTATTTGAATAAATACAAACAAATGTGATGGAAACTTTTGGAGATCTTTGCAGTTTTACTGAATTAAGACTAATCAGCTCAAACTCTAACACAGATGGTGAAAAAAAAGATCACATAGCGTCCTCTTGACCTCCTTGATAATTTAAAGTACAAACTTCTTTAGTGTACTTCTGAATCACAGAAAAATTCCAGACAATTTAACTGTATGAACTCATCAATATTTAAGAAGGTATGTCTACATTTACTGGTGTTAGCCTAAAAAGAAAACAGTAAACTAAATGGATAACGATAGCATAGACTTTTAGCAACTAGTTAGAGCAGGGGTGCATAATCCTGGTCCTGGAGGGCTGGCATCCAGCAGGTTTTGTGGTTTTTCTGCTCCAACACACTTGATTAACTGATTGAATCACCTGTGCAGCAGCTCATCAGGCTCTGCAGAAGCCTGTTAATCACCTGCTGATTGAAATCAGGTGTGTTGAAGCAGAATTAAAACTAAAACATGCTGGATACCGGCCCTCGAGGACAAGGATTGGGCACCCCTGAGTTAGAGATAAATAACATCACACTGATTTAATAAATGCAACACTTTTGTGAAAAGCTGTAGGCCAAATTATGCAAAGGAAAACAAACTTGGACAGTCATGAAACTTTCATGCAAAATTTCTTGTTGCCATTTAGTTGCAAAGTGCCCCCCTTCAGTTTCAGTTTGTTTGCATTTTCCCTTAACTACTCTTAACTTGTCTCACATTTTTTGCATGTTCTGACTCACAGAAACTAAACCAAGAATAGATCCGAAATGACTTCCAGCTGCATGGGCTGACCTTGTGGGGGAAATTCCAACAACACAAAAATGAGAATCTGGGACTTGTGAGAAACTTGAGAGCCCTACCAAACAACTTGAGACATTTTAGAAACACCTTGAAGAAATGCCATATTCATAGGGACTTTGTGATCTGGAGGTGCATCTTTGAAACCACTGGAAAAGCTTGACATCCACACTAAACATTTGCTTCTTATGAAATAATTCTGAATTTAGCCTTTCAGTCACAAGCTGTTGTAAATTTTGGGAGAAATGTGCTAAAATGCTGCCTGTTGTAGAAAATCTTAATTAAAAAGCTTTTTTGTGAAATGATTGGATTTCACCATCAGGTGACACCAAATGACAAAAAGGAGCTTTAATTCTGAAGTTAACAGGTAACCAGTGCAAGGAGCTGCAGTGAGGATTTTACCGATTACAGTTAGTTTGCAGGTTTTTAACACATTTTGTAAAGAAGGAAAAAAACAAACAACAGCTAAACAAATAAACTAAAGCAAAACAAACTGCGAAGTAAATAGATGAGACCTATTTAGCAGAACTATGTTATTACGGCGTCTGGTTTTCACGTTAGGCCATTATGAAGTCACACCTCACTCTTTGCTACTGCAACACAACAGCACATGTTACTGTGTTCAAATAGCAGCAAACTGGCTACAACAATTATGGTTGGTTTAGTGGCAGTGAATAAGAGAAATGATCCGTTTTCGAAGCAGAAGTATTAAATACAATATAGTGTGTGGAATATTTCAACACTTGTGGAGAATGGTGATTACTAAATTGAGAATAAAACAAGGGAATACCTAAAATTCACGTATCCATTATTAAAGGTTATCTCCTCATGAAAACCCCCACATATATTGCCCCACTCCTCCCCACTTAGGTAGTCCCTCCTCTGCACTGTAAAAACTAACACCCTGTCTCTCCCTGTAGCTAGCAGGAAGTTTAATCTCCACAGGTGTAAATTAGTGATTTCTTTCTTATCTAGTCTGCACATAAGTTAATGCTTAGAACAATGCCGGTGGGAGGAACTGGATTCCTGTTGGGTCTTCCTAAAGAAGATTTTAATCGGCAGAAACAGTTAGATTTTATCAACAGGAGCTCTCAAAAAATCGAGCCAGAATGTGATCGTGATTTCACAAACTACTTGTCAAACCACCAGCAGTACCAGAGTGGGTTTTCAACCCTAACCCTAACCCTACTCACCTAATGGCCAGGACAGCGTACAACAAAAATGCCATCATCATCATCATCATCATCATCATCATCATCATCATCATCATCATCATCATTATATAGCAACTTCCAACTGCCAGAAAGTGAACCAAAGTGCTGTACATGCATTAAAGACATCGCTGACCCATACAATGGTCAACAAAAATAGACATCAAATCAAATAAGAACAGATAAGAGCAAAGTGATAAAATGATCAATTAAAACATAATGTTAAAAAAACCAAGTTAAAATAAGTTCAATAAAACTGGCAGCACTTTGCCTGTGACAAAAAGAGGCGCAGCTAAATTATCTAAAATTATGACTAGCTCATGTGCTGAAGGAACGCCATTGTATAAAAGTGAGTCTTCATCCGACTCTTAAAAACCGGCAGTGAGGATGCTTGAACATAACCAAAATGCTAACAGCTAGCTGAATGTTAGGTGAGTGAGCGTCAGTGACAAATTGGGAAATTAATTCACCCCAGGCAACATTTCTGAGAACCATAGCTACTTTCTGGATAGCTGTCGTTGATATTTGTCACGTTTCAGGTTAGGAGGAGGTTAGGACCCAAGATGCAGATAACACCAGAAGACACGAGGCAGGAGCGGTTTAAAAGTAAAATCCTTTTTTATTAGGATGAGGAACCAAAATATCCAAAAAGGGCAGGATGCCAAAAACCAAAGTCCTGAACACCAGGAGAGCGAAAGCTCACATAGAAAGCTCCCCCCTTGAGATCCGTTTCTTTCGCACGCAACTGCGAGTTTGAACCATCCACTTGCAAAAAATGCGTGTCCAACCCCTTACCCTTACCCAACCTTTACCCTAACCATAACCCTGAAACAAACATAAAAATTGTGCTACACATAATACTTAAAAAAATTTAAATTATGCAAAACACATTTTTGGTGTCAGGGTGGTTATGGTTAGGATAAGGGTTAGGATGAGGGTTATTTTTTGTGAGCGGGTCGTTTCCACTTGCAGATGGGTGCAAAAGAAACAGATCTCGAAGGGGAACATGTATCGACATAACACCGGCATGGCGATACGTGGATTTTGAAGCATTAATTCTGCCTCACTTGGTAGTTATAACGTGATAATTGTCTGTCTTATAAACGGTGACTAGGCCATGGCTCAACAGAGTGAGGTGTCATTACTCCCAAGCTCCGGCTGGCAACTATATTGAAAATGAAAGTAAACACAGGTAAACAGTATCAGCTGGGATGATAATCTGGAGCAATGCAGCGCTCCAAGAGTTTCTTTCCGTTAGACCTGGAGCTCAGATCACCAGAGACTGCATGGGACTGCAGAGGACAGACGCCTTTAGGAGCGGCTTGTTAAAAAAATCTCAACAAGCGCGACTTTGATAAAGTAAAAAGCAGGTTATGTCCAGATAAACGAAAGTCCACGGCAGTGCAGAGCCCGCCCCCATACCCATCGGGTAATCGTTTGTAAAAAAGACACAACTGCGCAACATTCCCCGCCATGATCTGACCCATTCTGAACGACCTAAAGCTCCCTGATTCCACCACGACGTTGCAGAAAATTGACGGCATTCTTCTGTAAAAACGGCTTAATTAGGTTGACTAGACATTTCAGCAGTTAGATTAAGTTGTTTAAAACACAAGCTCAAAGACAGGATGAGAGTTTAAGTTTTGTTTTTTAGACTGTGAATTAAAATGAGCACTAGGGGCTGTTAAAAGCAAGGTCTTGTGCCAGTATGAGTGGGTGATTTCAGGGAAGTGTTGTAATTGCTAGTTGGACTCTCACTCTGCAGGCGAAGTTAAACCTAACTGTGTACTATTGCGTCGTATCAGGGAATCTGAGGAATGTTTGTAATTCTGAAGCTGACCCCCCCCCCTTCCTTTTGTCTTTCTCTTTCACCTCTGTCTCCGTGTCTAGTCGGAATTATAAAGCAGGCAAAAAACAATGACAATAAAGTTTTAAGTGTCAGGCGTGGCATTAAAGCAGAAGCTTGAGAGTAAATCTGTAAGGCTTCTCGCCAGCATTCAGACATTAATTCTGTTTGCTTCACAACCAGACAGGACACGAGAAAAAAAATAAAATTCTGAAGCTGACCAAACCTTTGTACAACTCGCTGGCATCTTGTCACATCCGTGTAAAAATAACGATACAAACAACAACAATCTGGTGTTCATATTGCTAATCACAAGCGGGATGCTTTTCTGTTCCTCAATCAATGGACTGTATCGTGTGACAGTAGCCGCTTCCCTCTGGTCATCCTGCTTCATTGTCCAATGGGGCTACAACTGAAGTGTTGCATTTATGGCCCCTGAATAGCGTGGTCCGGGTCGGTTGTATGGCCAGCTTTTACAACAGAAGCCAGACAGAGAATAGCATCGTGACCTGCTCCAACCCATCCCAGACCCTTAAATGGAGCTGATGCTTATATGTCCCTTTCCAAGTAGTACCCAATCTTTCACTTGTCTCACTCTTTTTTTCTTAATCTGAACGGATTGAAGGAGGTGAAGAAAATGGATCATTTATTTACCTTGTCCCATGTGTGAGATAGCCTCCAGTTGTCTGTGTGTTGTAGCCTTAGAAATGGCCTCTGGTAGCTGAAGAGGAAAAGGTAACACATCCCTGGGAAACATACATATGGATTTGTAAGTATTTTCAGAGATATTGTTGAAAACATTGCCAAAGGTTGCCATTTATGGGAGCTACCGTGTTTTTTTAGAACCAGAGTTTGTGCACTCAAGATGTGAAACTAAAAATCCCACATAGATAACTTCTAAAATAAAGGCGTATTTCTTTAACCATCAAATATCTACATGCATTTAGTCTTCATGCCACAGAAGGATAAGAACTACACAAACTACATAACTGCATTAACTAAACTGCATCAATCATCAGAAGTAAAAAAAAGTGTTTAAGGTGAATATTTTATGTTTTAATCAGAAAAATGGAGCGTGAGATCGACGCGCGGATTGGTGCTGTGTCTGCACCAATCTGTCGTGGTGAAAACAGAGCTGAGCCGGTCGATCTATGTTCCTACCCTCACCTATGGTCACGACAGAAAGAACAAGATCGTAGATACAAGCGGCTGAAATGAGTTGTCTCTGCAGGGTGGCTGGGCTCTCCCTTAGAGATCGGGTGAGAAGCTCGGTCACCTGGGAGGGGCTCGGAGTAGATCCGCTGCTCCTCCAAGTCGAGAGGAGCCCGTTTTGGTGGCTCAGGCGTCTGGTTAGGATGCCTCCCGGACGCCTCCCTGGTGAGGTTTTCTGGACACGTCCAACCAAATGAACCAACACATTCTCACACCCAAAGCGTCAGGAGAGGACGCGCAGGGACACGTGTCACCGCGGGCGTCCGTATTTGACGCCCATGGTGACACGGACAATATTCCTCGAACCTCTAGTGATTTAACCTTCCCCTCACCCCCATCCTAACTTTAACTCAGTAATTTTCAATTAAGCTTTGCATGTGCAAGCTGGTTAAGGTTAGAATGGGGGTGAGGGGAAGGTTAAGAAGTTCAGAAGTCGGTCAAATGTCCGTCTCACGGCGGGCGTCGGATACCGGCGCTCTGGGACAGTGCATCCTCAGTGCGTCCTCTTCTGACGTGCTGAGGCACCCTGAATCGTCATATTTTGATGCATGGTCACACGCTCATTTTTCGACGCTTTGGGTGTGAAAATGTGCTGAATGAACCAACGTTTTCCTTGTACTTTGCCATGTGTATGCTGAACTGATGGCTCAGAATGTAGCAGATGTTTACATGTGTATAAACTGCATGGATGCTGCTGTGATATGTGCTCTGTCAGAACAGGGAACTGGAGCTTAGCATATTGAAACCAGTCCCCAGAGGGCTCTTGATTCATTGTGGCTTTAAGGTATTTGCATCTGCATTAAAAACATTTAAACTTCATATAAAGTGAGCTACTAAACATGAATGACACTCCCTAGTTTGAAAATATAACAGTACAATTCACAGCTTTACTCCGGAGTTTTGATTCTGACTTCAAACTAATCAAAACCTGGTTTCTATTCAGTATTTAACCCAAAATAATTGGAGTTCAACAGGAAGGTAATGTAATAACAAAGAGCTTGAATTAATTTCTTTACAAGGAAAAAGTTCCAGCGATGTGATTTTCTACTAACTTTAATCCAAACTGTGTGTTTTATTGAATGGTGTTACCTGCTGATACAGTAGAAGGCCACCAGTCGACACAAATCGGGGAAGCTGAGTGCGGAGCTCTCCAAGGCGAATGCTGGGTGGAAAACAAATAGATTGACTGACAGGAATGGAGGCAGAGGGAAACTAGTTATGTCAAAAATAATACAGAGCAGCCACTCTGCAGTGGCACAGTAAAGCTCTGCTAGGATGATGGCAACTTTTTAGAACTTCTTCAGATGTTCAGGCTCTTATAAGTCTATGAAAGTTATTTGTTTTTTCTCTACAAACATCTTAATTAAAAAATCTCAAACTTTTTGAGTCAGTTTTTGTATTTTACTCACTGGAGTCTTCCTCACAGATGAAGCACTCCTTCACAGAGGAGGCGCTCCTGTCCACCGACACTCTCAGACACAGCACCTTCCTCTGAGTGGAGCTGCATTTACGCACTAAAAACGTCTGAAAAACACACGAGTAGCAAGAATAAGATGGATTGTTAGAGCTGATTTTAGACTTTCTTTAAAAATAGTTAAAAAATATTTAGGGATGCAAGAGATGAACTCAAACATTTTGTAAATGTCAGTTAGCTAGACTCGTGAGATGATGAGACAGAGGCATGTCCAGGTGGGACACTTGTTTATGCATGGGTGGCACCTATAGTTAAGCTTTTATTTTGAAAGGAGGATGTGTCATCCCTCACAAAATAATTCATTGAATGTCTTCTGCTTCAGCCCAATCCTAATACTCGCAATTCCCAAGTGTCCCGATTCTCAAGGGCAGAAGTTGATCACACTCCTTTTGCACCCTTGATCTACACTTGGCCCAAGTCCACATTCATGCGGACTTCTAGGAAGGGTATTACCCACAATCCACTGCTGTGTGGGAATTTTGAAAAACGGCTCAAGTGCCTTTTCTTAAAATATGTATTTTCAAATGAGAGACATTCATTTTAAGATGTTTAATGACATTTATTCATGTTCTGAATGTTTCAGACTAAGATTTAATGTGGACACCAATGCATTTAGATTTAGTCAAATAATTGTTTGTTTGAAAGTTGTTAATAGAGATTTTTTAAAAAGTAGCATAAACAGTAACCGGCACCCCAGCATGTGTCACAGTCAGTGGTTGTGTCCGAATCTGTGGGAAGGATGCTTGTAAGAGCACATTTTGAGGTCGATGACGTCACAGCGCAGCGACGGATACTGTCCGAATTCCAAAAATACTCATTATCGCGTCCTCAAATGTGTCCTCGCTCCGCCCACATTTCGAGGACGGGTCTGTTGTATCCTCACAGAACAAGGCTATCCCAGCATGCTTTACGTGCCGGCTGTGGATTTTCAACAGGAAGAGAAAATGGGAAGAGCTACGAAGTTTTAAACGTAAGTTTGTTAAAAACTAGCCGTAGAAAACTAAAAAAAGTTAAAGTGGTTCTGTTTATAAACATTTTTCGTTTTATATTTGTTTTTTAAATTACATTGTAGGCAGAAATAGGCCAGAACAAGTTTGTATCGCGGGTCCCGTAGTTATTTCCGTGTGTGTGTGTGTGTGTGTGTGTGTGTGTGGCGAATTAAACTTGTCATTTGTTTTAGGGACAACAGAGCATTTTTATTAAGCTTAGAGGTGAAGAGTGAAGCTGTTTACACACAACCACAGTAGTTCTGCTGTGAAAAGTAGTTTTACATTCAGGGATTTACACAGCTGACACGTTTTAATGAAGTTAAAATTGTTTGTGTGAAGAATATAATTTTTATCTTCTCGTGTGGATAAATGTAAAAATGTGTTTGTTGCCTTTTTGTCAACTGTGGTCTCTGATTTTCTCTGTAGGACTGCAGGTGTCCAGGGTCAGGAGAAGCTTTACCTGTTGGTCATCCTGGGAGAGAGGCCTTCTACTGTCATCATGTTAATGTTAATTAGCTGTTTGATATTTGAACACGTTTATTAAAGCAAATACTAACTGATAACACTTTCTGGTCATTGATTTTATCACCAGTTTTATTAATTACAGATGTTTTTGAACATGTTACATGAACAGAAAATGAAAAGATGGCAAGGAGACAAGATTATTTATAATAGGTTACACTTATTTACAGATCAAAACCAGTATGGACCAGTTTTGTACGGTTAAAGCAGGATTAACCTGAGTGACTCTTCCTGGATCATTTATTTAAACTGAGTGAGCAGGAAGTCTTTAACAGTGTAGCTGGATCTGCTGCAGGAGGATCCAGACATGGATGGAGGGCTGGAGCAGACCCGTGGCTGGGCGTTTCTGGTCAGAGGAACATCATACAGGACGGTCTGCAGAGAGAGCTTTGGGACGCTTCCTCTCACTGTCCACTCCATCGTCCATCTACAGGGCCTGCTGGACTGGCTCAGATGACGGCTGTTACATCTTTAAGACGTATTCAGAAATATGAAATGAGGAGATGGTTCATGGATCCGCTGGTATAACAACTGTGACTCTTCAGCAAATAAAACCACAGTGTTGTTTTTAATAGAGGTTCCTACATAAATGACTTGCCTGTTAACAGTAGTGGTGGTCTGCTGGTACCTCCTGCAGGACAGAGCACCACTGACCTCCTCCACACACATCTTCCTCGGGCTCATCCTCCAGACCCACAACTTCACCAGCACCGATGCAGATGTGCAGCAGAGTGCATGCTGACCTGTAATAGAATAAAAAAAAGTTTTTTTCATTGAAAAATGTACAACAAAACCTGCAGTACACTGGTTCTGTTCAGTTTAAAGAAAAGCAGCAGGGAAAACTACAGAGAATTTACATTTTTAAAACAGATCTGATCATTATTATGTTTATGTTTATGTATTTAGCAGACGCTTTTGTCCAAAGCGACTTACAAGTGATAATCGGCATGTTGCCCTTGAGGCTAACAACAACAATAACAACAACAACTTGACATCAATCATGGATATTAGGCTTAAGTTGAATAAACAAATGCATACTGAAAACACTCCAATGCTATTTTATTAAAAAGCCTGTTTTTTAAAGCATTTTACCCCCATTTGATGCAAAACAAGAAGTTTTAAGGTCCAATTAACATTAGAAAACAACCTACTGCATTCAACATTTATAATGGATTTGGTTTATATTAATTACCTACATGATAATACTCTGTAGTAATGTGTTGTGTACGTTTAACAAGTTCATTCTGTAGCTTAAAACATACATGAAACCATCTAAAGTTAACATGTAAGTCCTGAAAGCTTCTAGAATAAACAAAGTTACTTTACCTGAAAACGGTTGTGAAGAAACGCTGCTGATGGACGTGAAGCTGCTGTAGCTCCTTAATATTCCTGCTCCATTTTTGCTAGCTTTAGCATTTTTCCTTTGCGTATAGCTGCCGCCACAGCTGTGACCGGACCTACGGGCCACCGTAGAGGTGAAGGCTAGAATGTCCGAATTCAGAGCCGCTAGGTTCCGGTCTTGGCGGTCTATCAAGGACCTGGCCTTGCTAGATCGGCAAGGACCCGTACTCATAAGCATCCTGCCCGTGGATTTGGACACACCCATTGACTCTATGCTCCTGTCCCAATTTGGCCCACTTGTGTACTACACACACGAAGCCTTACTGTGCACCTCTAAGTGCACTTCACTGAAGGGCGTAGGGTGCAGTGCAAGTATTGGGATTTGGCCTTCTTCTGCTTCTTCCTCTAGCTGTTTTGTGGCAGTTGGGAAGCCACTTCTTGGTGCATTACTGCCACCAACTGGAGTGGAGTGTGGAACATGACTATGAATACTATTTAAATCAATATGAAAAAATAATAAATTAAATTAATAATACTCAAATATATGGGGCTAGAAACCAATGCACACTGCCACCTATTTAAATTTAAATGGAATACAGTGGGGTGGCACATGGGGTGGCCAGCAAGATAACAAGGGTGGCACGTGCTTCTCCAGATTACTGGACACATCCCTGCTGTTTGACAACACTGAATAACACAAAATATAGCTTTACAATTACATTCAGCAAAAATCCATGGCTAACTTTTAAGAAATTTGATGGATTGCGTTAATTCGTAAATGTATCAGGACCAGGAATAAAAATTTCTTTTTCAAGGGACTCCTGGTCAAGACAGCAGCAAAAACAGTTCCAAATAAAAGAAGCACAATATAAAAACAGATAACATAAACATCAAGGAAACACAGTTTACAATCTCATTTCATCTCAACACATGTGCATCTGATAAATAAATAATCCTTTATCCCAGTTTTGAACTGTCATTGCTGGTCAATTTTTTTATTTAAAATATTTAAAATAAAATTATTCTTCTGTATAATGTTAAAAGCATTTTTCAATTTATCTGTGGCAGTTGCTAAGGGCGAAGCAGAACAGTACAAAACAGTGCCATCAACATAAAAACGTCACTTAGCATCAGTTTTGTTTTGACACAAGTTATTTATATAAATTGTAAATAAAACAGGGCCCAAAATAGACCCCTGGGGGACACCTTTTGATGTAAACACATTGTCTGAAAACACACTCTTTGTATCCGGCCCGTGAAGTAGTTGCCAAGCCACTTGACCACTTTTGAGGACAAGCCAAAATATTTCTCACTGATAAAAATGGCCAACATATGCATCTCCCTTGTGTCTATAGTTTTATGAAGAAAGCTGCTCCAGAGGATGATTCTAATAATTTATTAAGATGATCAACACAGCCGACAGGGTCCTCACCCCAATTGGCTCTCTGAGCAGGATGTAGAGGGCGGAGTCTTGGTTGAGGGACAGCTGCAGCCACACAGGGTGTGTGAGCAGCAGACGATCCAGGACACTGAAGGTCCGCTGAGAAGTGCTGGCCACCTCCTGCATCTGCAACACACAGAGATGGAAATTAAAGCATGTTCAAACAATCTGTTTGCTTTAATTAAGTAAATTCTCTTCCTGGAGATACTTCCTGACTATATTTTAGTTGCAAATCCATGTTTTGATTGTAGACTTTAGCAACTGACTGTAGAACGTAGGGACATAACTTCCCAGGGTTAATATTAACTCTGCAGCCAACCACTACGGAGCCCTTGTCCTGCTCTGACTTCAGCTTTCAGGTTTTGAGGTGACCTTCTATTTCACTCTGTCAAAATTTTTATTGAAGTGTTTAGAATCAGGTGTTTATTCGTGTTAGTGATTTTAAGTAGAAAGAAATCAACCAACACATATAAAATGCTGATTCCTTTTGGTGAGAGCACATGAAGATTCAGATGCTGTTTACAAAAAGTATTTAGTTTTTTATTTTGTTTATTCTGGTAGGTTGTATAAAATTAAATAGTGTTTTAAAGGGGTCCTATAACAAGTTTTTTTTAAAATAAAGTTAAAGTCCCATAGTCATCATCACACACTGGCAAAATTACATGTCCACATTTGACTCATCTCCTTGGGCAGCAGTGAGCTGCACTCAGGAACTATTTGGTGGTTTAAACCCCCAATCCAACCCCCTAAGGCTGAGTGTCAAGCAGGGAGACATTGGGTCCCATTGTTAAAGTCTTTGGTATGACCCGACCAGGAATTGAATCCAGATCTCCCAACTCCAGGGTGGACACTCTACCACTAGGCCACTGAGAAGGTCCAGTGGTAGGTCTAACAAATGGTTCTTCAAGCCTCTATGTGGAAAATACTATGTTGGGGGCTCAAAATGGCCCAGAAGCCCTGATAAATGTCCAAAACAAAAACAAATATCTCGTACGGCTCTGGCGGCTGCTGGTTGCAGCCATCAGGTAGTCTTCTGCGCCTCTGGAGAGGGGGGTAGGTGCTTCTCTGGTGGCTGTCTCCCTGAGGTTTCTGTACTTGGGGAGACCTATGGATCTCTACGGCTTGGAACTCTACCATCTTCCACACGTTTTTGGGGGCAGATCTGTGGCTCCTCAGACACACTATTGGGCACTCCTATAGAGAAACTTTACATATACAAGCACACGGGTGCTCACATGGTGCTCTCACAAGGATGGACTTGAGCATTTGTATCACCTGTGTGGTGGCTGTGGTTCGCACTAAATGCACTATGAATTATTACTGTGTGTTTCTTAGCAAAAATAGTTTTTTATTTATCCTCATGTAGTTGATGCAGCATTATTTTGGTCATGTTGTATTTTTGTGTCCCCTTTCTCTCTCTCTCTCTCTCTCTCTCTCTCTCTCTCTCTCTCTCTCTCTCTCTCTCTCTCTCTTTAGGCAGGTCTAGAAGCGGATTCTTGAAAAATGGTGCTCACTTGGAATGGAGCGCCTCACAGCAGTTTATTTTTCTTTATGAGACAGATTGGTTGGTGGCCACTTGGTGTGTGATGAGAGCGGGAGGAACATCGTTTGGCAGACGCTTTTATCCAAAGCGACTTACAATTTATAACCTATAGGGCATGTTGTGATCTGTGGGGGAAACCGGAGTACCCGGAGGAAACCCACTCATGCATGGGGAGAACACGCAATTCCACGCAGAAAGGCCGCAGCCGAGTTTCGAACCTGCAACCTTCGTGCTGCGAGGCAACAGTGCTAACCACTGTGCCACCATGCAGCCCATTTGTTAATGAACTGCAGGTTTGTGACCAGACATCATCATGGGTTGATGGAGAGAGGAGCACTTTAGTCCAGCAGAACACCTGTTAATTTTTGTTTTTATTTAGTTTTCCTCACCTGGACAGTCCTGCATCTACAGACCAGTTTTAACTCTTGTGCTTTCATTGTCTGCAACAAATTGTCCATCAGACACAACTTTTCTGTCTTTTGGTAACTCGTCTTCCACTGAAACTTTTTTCATAGCTGCTAAATATTTAAGGCAGCTTTACAACCTTCTGTTCATTCTGCAGTCTGCCAAAGTGTTGTTCTGCGTTTCTGAGAGCTGCACACCTCTCCTGCTGCGTCTGCCTTCAGCGCAACAAGAAATGCTGCTTAAAGGTTCTTTAGTAAATGAACATGGACTGTCCTGTCAGGACGAACACATCTTTATTTATTCATTTATTTATTGTTTCTTAAATATATATATATATATAAAAAAATGAAACGTTCAGAAAAGTGTGTCTGCTTTTGCTTATTTTTGGATCTTTGGCGTTCGGTCACAGCTTTAGTTTCTCCCCGTCTAAGATTGGCTTGCTGCTGGATGTCACTATGTGTGGGCTGCCGACAAACTCTTGCGAGCGTAGCAGCAGATGGTTGCCAAGGCAACCTGGGCCTACACATCCTAGCAGGCATTCCCACTCACTCAGCGAAACACCCTCCTCCTCTTCGACAAGTTGGAGATGGACGCACACAGTGAGCTGGTGCACGCACGCGCACGCACGCATACACACACTCACATACTCTTTGCAAAAGGGCGACAGGTTCTTCCATGGTGCAGAGGTGTTCTTTTTCTAGAAATACATTTCTTTTATTTTGTGAGTTTAAGTTTTTTTCCCATATAATTAAGCCCGTATGTTGTGTAGATCTCTCACATCAAAGCCTGGAAGCAAGGCAGAGATCACGTGTTGCATGAGAATAGCGTGCATCCAATACCAGATATGCGTTTTTCATGTGTTTTGCCACCTCTTGTACCCTATTACATAACTGTCCTCCTCTCTGGAGGGAAACCAGTTATCTGCGCCGCTCTGCAGCACCATCAACAGAAACAGGTTATCCCTGGAGGTTGGAAATCAGGCGTTAGGTAACAATTACAGGTTTCTGCTGACAGCAGAGAAACCAAAACAATGGAAACATAAATCAGGAAGAACATTTTAATCTAAAGACTCAGCAGTGTGTGAAACGATCTCCCTGAGGAGGCGATCCTCATCTCAGCACTGTAGGATTGTCAAACTTTTGACTAACGTGAGGGAGGAGAGCGTTTGAGGGATGCTGTCTTGCTTTTCTTACAGCTTTACTATAATAAGTCACCATGTGTTGACAGGGATTTCTCACATCACACATCCATCACAGCTGAGTGTACAAACAGACAACCATCCTGTTTTACTACACACAGAGAAGTACAGACCATCACATGTGCAAACAGAGGGGCCCTCGGCAAATCATGTCTCAGTCTTTAGACACAAATGAGGTTTCCTTATGCAACCATAAAAAGAGATGTGCTACCTCAGCTTTGCATCGTAAAACTAATAGAATCCAACGACTCTCAACTAAAATTGTATCTCAGTCAAAAAGGGTTCAAATGAAGGCAACTGGAATTCTTTGGCTTCTTGAAGACGTTTCGTTTCTCATCCGAGGAGCTTTGTCCATCCTGACTGGAATGTGGGAGAGTCAAGCTGTCTGTTGTTATTTAAAGAGCAAGTCACTCCAAATCACCATTTTTGTGCTGATAAACTGTATAAATGAGTGTCTAATTGTGCTGTAGACAAATGTAGTCAATAATTCGGCACTTTAGTGCATCTTAGTTAAAATTTAAATATTCTGCGTAAAACTTTCAGCGACTGTCAGGCAAAAACTCAGCACTGCATTTGAATTTATGTCTGCCTTCGCTATTGGCTAAGAGGCGCACTATGATGTTAGATGGTACATTATGATGTCACAATGTCTTGAGTGTGTGTATTTGTTAGAGGCTCCGCCCTCTCGGTCTGCTAGGCAACAGCATTTGTTGCATTTTTCAAACAGGAAGTGGGAGTTGAGTAAGAATCTGGCAGGGGTGACTTGCTCTTTAAAGAGCAGAAACTACTCTGGGTACCCCTCCTCTCTACCCCCTGATGAGTCGTTGGCCTTTATTGAGAGGGAGTCATTGTGTTGATTAGATGCAGGAGGGTGTTACCTGTTGGTGAAGGTTCTCAGTTATCCAGGTCATGGTAAACCAAAAGGGTTCAAATGAAGGCAACTGGACTTTGATTTCTTGACGACGTTTCACTTCTCATCCGAGGAGCTTTGTCAATTCTGACTGGAATATGAGCGAGTCAAGCTTGTAAGCTGTGTGACCTAAACTGAAACTGTTTGGGTGCTGGACGGGTGCAACCTAAAGCCGGTTTCACACTGCAGGCATCAGCGGAACGGAAGAGCAGCGGGGCAGCTCACTCGCAAACTTCAAAGCGGTCCTTTTCACACCGGGAGAGTCTTGGCCGCGGCACGGCTTTCTCGCTGCGCCTTGCAGTACCCGCGAGATTCTAAATTCCCTAGAGACTTCCAACACCTTCCTCATTGAGAGATCCCAACCCCCGCGAGGAATCACACCACTGCACTTCTCGAAAGAAACTGGTGGTAAACAAAGCCGTTCGGTCACACGTACTGTAAGTTATACATTAGAGCCCTGCACGGGCCTAAAATCTGAGCCCATGTCCGGCCCGGCCCGAGGGGGTGGAGCCCCAGCCCGACCCGGCCCGAAAAGGTTTTCAGGATTCTCTGGCCCGGCCCGAGCCCAAGCCCGACTTTTTTTAACCAACTAAATGAAAACAAAGTGCGTCAATCCTGACCAATGTGTTAAAAGATGTGCAGGATCCGAGCGTCGCAGAAGCGCATGCGGGAAGCTTCCCACTGAAGCGAGTGTTTTCCAAACCCGGTCTCTCAGAGAGACTTGTCACTTAGAAAATGTTCCCTGATTATGAAACTTTGGCTGAATAGCGCTTGTTCCTGTCTCCAATGTGCGACACATCCAGGAGCCGTCTGAGGAGAATCCCAGAATCTCACATCCTCTTCAGCTCATGAGCGCATTTGATTACGCACAAGCGTGACCCAACACGGTCTCACAGTAAGACTGGGTTGGAACTGTTCAGGTTTACGCAGACAATCTTCACATAGAATTGACTTACAGATATAAAATTAATTCAGTAAAATATAAAGCATTTTATTTAAATACCCATTCATTATTTTACAAGCACATCGGCAGATGGATGGAAGAGCCGCGGGTTGCCGATCCCTGCTCT